ACTGTGCTACATGCTTTCGCGCGTTCGGTTCCAAATTCAATTTTCGCGGTTAAATCTAGAGGTAACCTAGCTCTACATTGAATACGCAGTATTCGACGCAATAAGCGCCCAGGGCGCTCTCAAAATTAGAAATGAGCAAATATCGCCGAGGGCGGTTATTAGAGCGGGGCGCTTATTACGTCGAATACGGTATATGATATATCTCCTAATTAATAATTACAGATCCACGAATATCACAATGCTTTCTTGCTGTCGTGTACGTGGTTGTGATATGTTGCTGAAAATCGTTCGTTTTGTTTGGTACAGTTATACATGCTAATGATACATTGAATTTTTTTAGATAGTTATTCAATTGTTAAAAACATAAAGGTGGGCACGGGTGGCCCAGTCGTCTAAGTTACCGATGTACGGGTTGTTGTCAGACTTGCCAGGATTCTATGATCCTGGGTTTCGATCCCTGGTAATAATGGTTGGGCTGGTGATGCTGGCAGTAGGGGTTGGGCCGGTGATGCATGCAGTAGGGGTTGGTCCGGTGATGCTGGCAGTAGGGGTTGGGCTGGTGATGCTGGCAGTAGGGGTTGGGCTGGTGATGCTGGCAGTAGGGATTGGGCCGGTGCTGCTGGCCGTGAGTAGGGGTTGGGCTGGTGATGCTGGCAGTAGGGGTTGGGCCGGTGATGCTGGCAGTAGGGATTGGTCCGGTGATGCTGGCAGTAGGGGTTGTGCCGGTGATGCTGGCAGTAGGGGTTGGGCTGGTGATGCTGGCAGTAGGGGTTGGGCTGGTGATGCTGGCAGTAGGGGTTGGGCTGGTGATGCTGGCAGTAGGGGTTGGGCTGGTGATGCTGGCAGTAGGGGTTGGGCTGGTGATGCTGGCAGTAGGGGTTGGGCTGGTGATGCTGGCAGTAGGGATGGGGCCGGTGCTGCTGGCAGTTGGGGTTGGGCTGGTGATGATGGCAGTAGGGGTTGGTCCGGTGATGCTGGCAGTAGGGGTTGTGCCGGTGATGCTGGCAGTAGGGGTTGGGCTGGTGATGCTGGCAGTAGGGGTTGGTCCGGTGATGCTGGCAGTAGGGGTTGGGCTGGTGATGCTGGCAGTAGGGGTTGGGCCGGTGATGCTGGCAGTAGGGGTTGGGCCGGTGATGCTGGCAGTAGGGGTTGGGCTGGTGATGCTGGCAGTAGGGGTTGGGCTGGTGATGCTGGCAGTAGGGGTTGGGCTGGTGATGCATGCAGTAGGGGTTGGTCCGGTGATGCTGGCAGTAGGGGTTGGGCTGGTGATGATGGCAGTAGGGGTTGGGCTGGTGATGCTGGCAGTAGGGGTTGGGCTGGTGATGATGGCAGTAGGGGTTGGGCCGGTGATGCTGGCAGTAGGGATTGGGCTGGTGATGCTGGCAGTAGGGATTGGGCCGATGATGCTGGCAGTAGGGGTTGGGCTGGTGATGCTGGCAGTAGGGGTTGGGCTGGTGATGCTGGCAGTAGGGGTTGGGCTGGTGATGCTGGCAGTAGGGGTTGGGCTGGCGATGCTGGCAGTAGGGATTGGGCCGGTGATGCTGGCAGTAGGGGTTGGGCCGGTGATGCATGCAGTAGGGGTTGGGCTGGTGATGCTGGCAGTAGGGGTTGGGCTGGTGATGCTGGCAGTAGGGGTTGGGCTGGTGATGCTGGCAGTAGGGGTTGGGCCGGTGATGCTTGCCGTGAGTAGGGGTTGGGCCGGTGATGCTGGCAGTAGGGGTTGGGCTGGTGATGCTGGCAGTAGGGGTTGGGCTGGTGATGCTGGCAGTAGGGGTTGGGCTGGTGATGCTGGCAGTAGGGGTTGGGCCGGTGATGCTGGCAGTAGGGGTTGGGCTGGTGATGATGGCAGTAGGGGTTGGGCTGGTGATGCTGGCAGTAGGGATTGGGCTGGTGATGCTGGCAGTAGGGATTGGGCCGGTGATGCTGGCCTAGGGGTTGGGCTGGTGATGATGGCAGTAGAGATTGGGCTGGTGATGATGGCAGTAGGGGTTGGGCCGGTGATGATGGCAGTAGGGGTTGGGCTGGTGATGCTGGCAGTAGGGGTTGGGCTGGTGATGCATGCAGTAGGGGTTGGTCCGGTGATGCTGGCAGTAGGGGTTGGGCTGGTGATGCTGGCAGTAGGGGTTGGGCTGGCGATGCTGGCAGTAGGGGTGGGGCCGGTGATGCTGGCAGTAGGGGTTGGGCCGGTGATGCTGGCAGTAGGGGTTTGGCTGGTGATGATGGCAGTAGGGGTTGGGCTGGTGATGCTGGCAGTAGGGGTTGGGCTGGTGATGATGGCAGTAGGGGTTGGTCCGGTGATGCTGGCAGTAGGGGTTGGGCTGGTGATGCTGGCAGTAGGGGTTGGGCTGGTGATGATGGCAGTAGGGGTTGGGCTGGTGATGCTGGCCGTGAGTAGGGGTTGGGCTGGTGATGTTGGCAGTAGGGGTTGGGCTGGTGATGCTGGCAGTAGGGGTTGGGCTGGTGATGCATCGTCCCCACTCGCCCCTTACCGTAACCTGCAAGAAGACTCGTCCCCTGTCGATGAATGTTGTGTGCAAAAATACGACAAACCAATCGGAATGCGCGTATAAGTTTAACTTCTCCATCAAAGAATCACTAAGAAATATTTTTTGATTTTATTTAAACACATTGTATTGCGGAAAACCAAATAGATTAGGCATAAGTGACACTTACGAGGCCTTCTCCTATATATATTTCATTACATTGTGGTATGTGAATTCTGTGGTGCAGAAGTAATTACAAGTAATGAGAAAATATAATAACACACACATATTCATTTTTTTTTATTCTACATATGTCTTGCATCTACAAATATGCCCAAGAAACAGTTAAATGTGTTCAATCATACTGTATAATTCCGCACGTCCCAATGTGTTTTAAATTGAATCTGAAGTATATATAATACATGGGGAAATAATATGTGAACCATTACGCAACGAGTTGACAATTGTTTAAGGTATGCCCGTTTGCGCTAAGACGGAACCCGGTCGCACAAATGGCCATGAGAGAGTCGCTATTCGGCTTGTCCCGGAATAACACGAGTTGGTCACGAATGTACCATCTGTTGACAAGGCGCTTCTGTCTCATAATGATCATTGGGCTCACATCAATATCACAGATAATCTCGGCCTTGTGACACTTTAAAGCTCTGACAGTGAAGTTGGTCCGGATCACAACGCGATCGATCGTCTCGCCAGAAGCCCGGGTTCGAATCTGCAAATGGGTAGGCTGTGTATATATATGTGTAAGCGCATGTATATATATATATATGTGTAAGTACCTGTGTATATGTGTGTAAGTGCGTGTATATATGTGTGTAAGTGCGTGTATATATGTGTGTAAGTGCATGTATATATGTGTGTAAGTGCATGTATATATGTGTGTAAGTGCGTGTATATATATGTGTAAGTGCATGTATATATGTGTGTAAGTGCATGTGTATATGAGTGTAAGGGCGTGTATATGTAAGTGCATGTATATGTGTGTAAGTGCGTGTATATATGTAAGTGCATGTATATATGTGTGTAAGTGCATGTATATATATGTGTAAGTGCATGTATATATGTGTGTAAGTGCGTGTATATATATGTGTAAGTGCATGTATATATGTGTGTAAGTGCATGTGTATATGTGTGTAAGGGCGTGTATATGTAAGTGCATGTATATGTGTGTAAGCGCGTGTATATATGTAAGTGCATGTATATATGTGTGTAAGTGCATGTATATATATATGTGTAAGTGCATGTATATGTGTGTAAGTGTATGTATTTGTGTGTAAGTGCATGTATATGTGTGTAAGTGCATGTATATATGTGTGTAAGTGCGTGTATATATGTAAGTTCATGTATATATGTCTGTAAGTGCATGTATATATATATATATGTGTAAGCGCATGTATATATATGTGTAAGTGCATGTATATGTGTGTAAGTGCATGTATATGTGTGTAAGTGTGTGTACATATGTGTGAAAGTGCGTGTATATATGTAAGTGCATGTATATATGTGTGTAAGTGCATGTATATATGTGTGTAAGTGCATGTGTATATGTGTGTAAGTGCGTGTATATATGTGTGTAAGTGCATGTGTATATGTGTGTAAGTGCGTGTATATGTAAGTGCATGTATATATGTGTGTAAGTGCGTGTATATATGTAAGTTCATGTATATATGTCTGTAAGTGCATGTATATATATATATATATATATGTGTAAGTGCATGTATATATATGTGTAAGTGCATGTATATGTGTGTAAGTGCATGTATATGTGTGTAAGTGTGTGTACATATGTGTGAAAGTGCGTGTATATATGTAAGTGCATGTATATATGTGTGTAAGTGCATGTATATATGTGTGTAAGTGCATGTATATGTGTGTAAGTGCATGTATATATATATGTAAGTGCATGTATATATGTATGTAAGTGCATGTATATATGTGTGTAAGTGCGTGGTTATGTAAGTGCGTGTATATATGTGTGTAAGTGCGTGTATATATGTGTGTAAGTACGTGTATATATGTGTGTAAGTGCATATATATATATGTGTGTGTAAGTGCGTGTATATATGTGTGTAAGTGCATGTATATATGTGTGTGTAAGTGCGTGTATATATGTGTGTAAGTGCGTGTATATATATGTGTAAGTGCGTGTATATATGAGTGTAAGTGCGTGTATATATGTGTGTAAGTGCGTGTATATATGTATGTATATATATGTGTAAGTGCGTGTATATATGTGTGTAAGTGCGTGTATATATGTGTGTAAGTGCATGTATATATGAGTGTAAGTGCGTGTATATATGTGTGTAAGTGCGTGTACATATGTGTGTAAGTGCATGTATATATGTGTGTGTAAGTGCGTGTATATATGTGTGTAAGTGCGTGTATATATATGTGTAAGAGGGTGTATATATGAGTGTAAGTGCGTGTATATATGTGTGTAAGTGCGTGTATACATGTATGTATATATGTGTGTAAGTGCGTGTATATATGTGTGTAAGTGCGTGTATATATGTGTGTAAGTGCGTGTATATATGAGTGTAAGTGCGTGTATATATGTGTGTAAGTGCGTGTATATATGTGTGTAAGTGCATGTATATACCTTTATACGTTCCTTCAGTATCATTGGTTGAAATAAACATTAATACACAGGAATGAGTTACATACGAGAAGTAGACATTCAGTGGACATATGCTACACTGAAGGTGTCTGGTCAGCAAGGGCTCAATTCAGCTATGTAAATCTTTAACCAGTGCATACTATTAGTGAAAACTGCAACCTAATCTTTCATGTCTCCATACATCAAGTCTACACAAGATCGATCTTCAAACACTCAATACCTCCAAAGTATATTTACCACTCTACAACACTAATCCCTGTGTTATTTGTAATTTGTCATGCTTTCTTGGTTTTGACGTAATCAAACTGTGGGTACTTCAAGATGATGTGCACATGTTCCAATTACGTTTTACAGCAATGCGTCATTAATGTTTGCCATACTGGCAGCAGACCGGCCCATGTTTCAACTTGGATACATTTATGGGACCAGAGTTCCACCTGGTTTTCTTGGTGCAAATTTGTTTTTAACATCGATCTTTCACATCGCGTCGATCCTTCGCTCCTACAATTCGTACAGTCGGTTGCATCTCTCGGCAAAGTCTACATACGAGTTTTGGTATCTCGTTTTGAGTTTTCTGTGAAAAGAAACAAAATCATATAGGTATAACAATGCAATAAGCTGAATACACCACTGTATCTATCTATCTATCCATCTATCCATCTATCATCTATCTATCTATCTATCTATCTATCTGTCTGTCTGTCTATCTATCTATCTATCTATCTATCTATCTATCTATCTATCTATTTGTTTTTGTTTGTTGTTTTACGCCGCACTCAGCAATATTCCAGCTTTATGACGGCGGTCTGTAAATAATCGTGTCTCGACCAGACAATCAAGATCTCTGCGTTGATGGAAATTCAATGGTGAGCATTAGTTTTCAGAACTTTGGATGTAATTGTGGTCTTTCCAAAAAATGAGTTTGACTGTTGTAGTAATTAAAAGAAAGCTACGGATTGTCTCTCATTCGTAACATAAATACGGCGCTACCCCAGAACTTACCTCAATCGTAATCCAAAAACCGGAAATGAAGTAAAGGCACATCTTGACGCTCGTTACCGATGATAACGGTTAACTTGTTATCCTACTCGAATGACCATCCAGTGCGAGGAACATAGTTATTCCAGTTTCCCGTGTATTTCCCGCGTTGTATTTGGTTATATTTTCAAATGACATTAACATTTAACATTTGGACATACCTTACATTGTATACAGCACCCACGATTACGGCGACAACGATGACGGCTATTACCGTGCCCGCGACAGCAAATATAAGCCAACCTGTAAAAATGTAAAGACATTCACTATGTAATCGGAATACCATAAAAAATAATTACTACATTTACTATTATTTATGTAAAATTATATACATGTATGTAAGTAATTTATGCATGTTTTACTGTAGACATGTGAAGGAAAATTTGTAGTGTGTTTTGAGATGGATTGAAGTGCAGTACAGAATAACAAATCTTTGCGTTAATTAAGTCGTGTGTAGGTAGCAGCTACGGCCCCTTGACCCATCGCTTCTGGCGTTCTCGAGGCCATGACCATCCGAGGTGAAGGCAGCGTCTGGGACAATACCGACACGGAAGGACAATACGTAGGTTTGTTTGTTTGTTTGTTTGTTGTTTAACGCCGTACTCAGCACTATTCCAACTATATGAAAGCGGTCTGTAAATAATAGTCTGGACCAGACAATCCAGGGATTGACATCATGAGCATCGATCCATGCAATTGGGATCGATGACATGCATCAACCAAGTCAGCGGGCCTGACTGCACCCGATCCGGTTAGTCGCCTCTTACGACAAGCAGAGTCGCCTCTTACGACAAGCATGGGTTGCTGAAGACCTATTCTACCCCGGATCTTCACGGGTCATTTATGTATATATTTGTGCAGATATTTAAAGTGATTAACTATTTTGCATCTCATTGGTAACTACGCGATTGACATCACGGGCATCGATCCATGCAATTGGGTTCGATGACATCATTAAGTTTAAGGCAACTAAGAGGCGACTAACGGGATCGGGTGGTCGCCGACTTGGTTGATGTATGTTATATGTTTTACACAGATTTATTACGTTGATATTATTATTATTATTACCTGTTTTACATGTTGGTCCCGTCCACCCGAACTTGCATCCCCTTGGGCAGTGCCCCGTTACTCTGTGACAGGGATCATCCTCGGCACACAGGCCACAGGGGGTACATGTTCCATACGTGTTGTTCTGACACTCTGTATCGTGGTAACATATTGATATACTATCGTCCTAGCAACTGGTCATACATATTGCTGTATGAAACATGACGGAAAACTTATATAATTAATCTATAAAAAGGTTAAACTATATTGCATTATTTTATTTAATGATAAAGTGATAACGGGTATATGATTTACACTTGTCAAGGCTCCTCTGTGCGTTTACCGCCGATAGGAGGAAAAAGGAATGACGTATTTAATAGAAATATGATAATAATTTTGAATCATGGTGCAGTGTATGTGTACACGCACGAGTGACTTTATAGCTTTTTGTATGTATACGTATTGTTGGAAGACACGGCTAAACCACTATGTACTACACATTTACTTTAAAATGGTAAATTGAAAATTGAGTTTATTGAACTTTTAATTTCACATTTAAGGCCTTTTTGTTGTGTTTTTTCTTGGATCATACAGTTTCAGTGCAGGATGTTAGATGTGTGGGCCCTTTGTCAATTACGTTGAAAGCTTATATTGCAACCCCATCACAATTCGGGCAACTGGGCAACAATATGGGATTCGGATATCGTTGAGATTTTGATCTTTTCAAAATAGTTTACATCACTCATCTATCTTTTCCGGCTTTTAACCAGATTGATTTAAAACTATGGAAATGTTTCGTTTGACTGTCCGTTTTTATTTCTCTTGGAGATTTAGGCCCATGGAACACTTTTTACCAGGAAAATATTTCCACCGTACATTTGCAATGGCAGTATTTGTTCCGGATGGGAACTGCTCATGGTTGTCATTGGTAAAGATTCTCGTGATGGACGTGATTCATGGAAGTGAACAATGTGTTCAATGTGTTCAAGTGTCGGATGGAAAGCCTTGAAGTTAAAACAAAGATGCGTTCCATAGGTTTGCCAACAATCCACGATCGTGGTATCGAATTCCAAAATCGCCCCGATTGTCTCTAGGTTTGTCAGCACCGTCGGTCTTGTGGGCTTCACGAACGTTATAAACGTCTGAGGCCTGCACCACTTCAGACTTGCCTCCAGAATCAAGCTGACACGCCGTGATGTAATTGAGTGTTAAAAGGGGTGTTGAACCAAGCTCACTCCTTGTGTAGTGTGAGTGTAAGAATACAATTTCCTCTCACCTTCCCGGCACATGGGCATCCTGTAGCCTGGTGCACACCCCCTGAGACAAACGCCCGTGGTCTTCTCACAGATGCCCCCTTCCTCGCAGTGGCCGCAGGACTCACAGCTGACCCCATACTGACCACCAGGACAGGACGCTGACCACAGGGGCACAGATACACAACAGTCTCAATCAGTCTCAGGCGCAGAGGTTATTTGCCGCTTTCGTGACGTAAATATCTTATATTTGGAATGACAGTACTATACGAATCGTTAAGGGTAATTATTTCTTCATATAGAAACATAATCGACATGCAAGGTGTACGTTCATTCACATTCACATAACTTCACAAACCGCGTATGAATACAATACTGGAGTAAACAGCCCAGTTTGCCTGTTGATGTGTTGTCATTCAAGTAGACATCACATGTTTAGACAGCATAAAGAAGTTTATTAAAAGTAGTACCGGCTTGGTGATCTCATTTCCATATTTATGGACCGTGAAACAAAGTTTACCGAAACCGGTTCATAACACTACCCATTGTAAACGATGATACATTATGTAAACGCTGTACGTCCATTACAGCAAGTGAGGGGGGGGGGGGGCTATATGATGACGACAGGTACAAAGACACACCAGGGAAGTTCAAAGTTAACATTTTACACCTACAAGTAAACTTCATAACATATTCTTATTTGAGCTTATTTAAGATATTAGTTTTCACTATATTTTGTAAAATTACTGCCATTAATGCTTCATAGTAATTACCTGGTTTGTGGAAGTTCGGCGAGAAGACGTGAATACCTATCGGTTTCGTGAAGAGGTGTGACGCCAAGGGGGTCATGTGTTGGCCATTCTCCAACATCGTATAGATGCTCCTGAAAATATTCACATAATCACGACCTACTTTTCACAGGTGATGGCCTTGGACATCCCGTGTAATGACAGCTAGTCAGTGAAGGTGTCGGGTATTCAATCACGTGTGAACGTAATATGAGTGAGTGGGTGAGTATGGTTTTACGCAGCTTTTAGCAATATTTCAGCATTATCAAGGCGGGGGACACCAGAAATGGGCTTCACACATTGTACCCATGTCGGGAATCGAACCCGGGTCGTCGGCGTGACGAGCGAACGCTTTAACCACTAGGCTACCTGACCGCCCCGAACGTGATATGAAAACCCCATAGTAAAACCACAAATATTATTGCGCTCGAACTTATATACAACATATTTGTTTTTTTGGACATAGAATCTTTAATCTGATCATTTTGCTGCCTATCAATCTTTGATGAGGGATTGTTTTATAAAATTATGTACCTGGGTCTGTTTTGGTGTCAATACAGTTTTGGAGTCTAAGGCACGCGTTCCTCCACTACCCGTGAATACATACAGAGACCATCTACTGAGTGAGAGGCCACAGCAGTAGATTATCACTGACGATCACAGCCGCGCCCCTTAGTGTTATTGTTACATTGACCCCCTGCTGCTTTTCTCTCGCACAGTCTCGCGTGAAAGTGCGGCTTGGTCTCGCGCGTTCGTGATTGGTCTCCAACTGGCCCATCGGCCCGTCCCTCGGTATATGGTCTCTGATACAGATGGTCGCTATGATATAATAGCTAATCTACACACAACAGGAAACTGCCCAGATTGCAAACAACAAGAAACACCAGAACACGTACTCATTCACTACAGACCACCCTAAACCTTAAAACCGCACTTACACTAGAATCAATCCTTAATCCACAAAATAAATTAGAAAAATTCAAAGCATTAGGCATATACCTAATTAAAAAGAGGACTAATTAGTCGCTTTTAAACCCAAAATAAAATATTAAAACCAAAACTACCTAATCTAACAACCACCCAACACACACAGCTCCCTAAGTTCGTCCTCCACCCACTCTTGGCATTCATTCCAAATCTCAAAATTTCAAAATTACTATATAAGCAACCCCTAAAGCCCCCCTCCTGGGTTGCACAAACTCACTTTTCCCCTTTTCGGAAACACATTAAATGGCCTGGTCGGGCCCGTGTGCGACATACGCTTGCAGTCGGAAAGCGCACGTTAAATCTCTAATATAAGTAAGTAAGAAATGGTCGCTATGCGGACTGTCGCTATTTCCAAAGACCATATACCGATATATATACCGGTATATGGTCTCTGCTTTTTCTAAGTGTTTCTGACGAAAGAGCTGGAACCAGGCGTGTGTTGAGTCCCTGGCTACCCATAGCGACTGCACTACACAGCGCCCGAATGTCTTCACGGTTGATGATGGACTTAGTAAATACAGAGCCATAAAGTATGGACTATGCAGGACACTGTTTCTTAGTTATCCCAGAGACCATAAAATAGAGGGACGGCCCTGGAGCCTATGCGCGAAACCATCAGTGCTACGGCTTGTACTGCGCAGCCTGCCCGGAAGTGAGCAGAAACGCTTTCATTTGCAGTCATTGTAGTCGCCTTATTTTACATGCAAAAGATATATTTCACAATACATATTACGCTAATGTATTTCTTAACATTGTCAACATTACATCTGAGATTTGTTGGTGCCCTAAAGCATGTCGTTGTCATTGTATTTGATGACTGTGATCACGCTTTGTCTTTGTCCGAGAGAGCCAAATGGCTCACATGTTAAATCGGCAAAAGTGCAGATTGTGATTTTCAATAAGGGCAACTAATTTTATGGTTATTCTTACTTGTCTCGTAGTGCAGTGAAGTAGAGGAGACCGTTAAAAATAGTTATGTCTATCATTGCTGTTTCAGTATCAACGTTCCTTCTCCCAGAGCCATCCAGCAGAACAGAGCCTATGACGTCATGACCACACCAGAACAGTCGGCCAGCTGTAACGAAAAAAATGTTTGTTTGTTTGTTTAGTATTTAACAGTGTTGCAACTATATGGTGGCTGACAGTCAACATTCAAGTCTGGACCAGAGAAACCAGTGATGGATAGTATGAGCAACTATCCTTGCCTTTGTCACCGAGTCGCTGCACCTTACCAACAGTTCCATTGAGTCGCCTCGTGTAACAATCATACGTTGCTAGGGAAACTTGGCAGATAGATAGGTCTAGTGGTGAACTGGTGCCTTTTGACAGTTTGGAATTTTAAAAAAAATCCTTTTTCGAGTTTCCATGGCAACGACCTTGACTTAGACTGAAAATGGCGGTAATCCTGGTTTCCGGAGCAGATCTTGAAAACCGTACACTATTTCTTCACCATCTTGGCACATAAATAGGTCTAGTGGACAACTGGTGCCTTTTGATACTTTGGGAATTTTTACGCATGTGTCCTTAGCAAGAGCATAACTCGGAAACCGTTTACATATTCTACAAGGGTTCTCTGAGAACCGTTACCATAATTACCTAATTGATCGAGATGTATTATACCACTTGACAAAGGAACTTGGTCAAGGCATATGGTAAATTATTGTGAAAAAAAAATTTACAAGTGGCACCCGAACCAGCCTACTTCATCGCAGTGCATGGTTGAAACATGAAACTTGAAGATTTCTTTAACGTGCGGAAGATGACTCTAATCATTCACTCTCAAACTCACTGTCTTGATTGGTGCTGTACTTCTCAGAACACCTGAACTAGAAATAACAGGGAACTGTGAAACCCCCTTGGAGATAACTTATAACTTTGAATTGTTTCATGTCAGTATGACTAGTTTATATGAACACTTCCTCTGCCTGAACCATATTTATGATTGGAATTAGAGTGTCACATGTGAACAAGCTGGTTTCTAATGCACTACACTGGACTTGTTGTTTACTGATCATGCCAGTGCTGTAGCATTCCAGACTCCAGTCTACTACTCAGATTATCAGATGATTGGTGCTGTACTTCTCAGTACACCCCATGGTGACTCCTGCTCTCATTAATCCCTAAGTAAAGTAAGAACTCCCTTACTTCTCTGATTATTGTTTAAGTAATAACACAACTCATTACAAATACAGTTACGCATTATATCATAAACTGCAGATGGCAAAACAACACCAGTAAGATTTTTTTAGTGCTGCAATTATGCAATCAATAAATTAGGTCCAGTGAACATAGTTCACAGAGCTTATTCACCGCACACAACCGGACATGTAATATTGGCGGGGGATATGAGTATTTCATGCTTGTTGATATTTGGGATTCGAACCCACGACAAGCGGATCCTGGAAACTTGGAGACACAACTCTTCACACCAAGCGACCCTCTCATCACTGTGCCACCAGTGATCCTGCACAACACAGAGGCTAAGTAGCTTGACGCTGTTTTCAGACACATTGACAAGGAAGCGGAGGCTCCCACTTTAACGCTACTTGAGGCTGTACTGTATTTACTTGCTATCAAAGTATGTTATTCATTGTTCCTCGTGTTGACAAGGAAACGTATCTATTGCCCATTAGGACGCCACTTGACAACTACGAGGAGTTTCTGTTTATTGGTTTATTTAAATGTTTTTTTCCAAGAATGTACTGGTTTTATGGGTTATATAATCGGATTTGACACGTCCTTTGTAATTCGGTTTATATTTAACTCGTTCGTTATAACGTCAGCTAACATGAATGTAAAACCGTTGTTTACAAAGAGAATGCTACATCTCTTGTCTCGAGCTACGGATATCTCGACACATTTTCGATTGTCTCGGTGGTTGGCTTCCTAATCTATTCCGAGTAACACGTAATATTTTCGCAGTACCGATGACTTCGAAGTATCACCGTACTATATTACAACAGTTTATCATATCAAAACAAAAACATTAATATGAGATATGTAAATCTTCTCGTTAAATGTTATTACGGGGCTTTTATATCGCTTGTCTCGATCTATGGATAACTCGATTTATTCTAGATGGTCCCAAAGTCTTGATGTATCATAGCATAATGTGAATTGCTTTATCGAGTTAATAACAAACAGGTACACGTGTAACCACTTTCATCAAGGCCCCACATGCACAAAGCAATCTCAGCGCTACGACCATCGTAACTCCCATATACTTACTATAACACAGACTTACGATAGTCGTAGCGCTGAGATAGGACTTCGACATAGCTTCGGCACACATGTTGGCTCCACCAATGGATAACACGATATGAGGAAATTGCAAATGATTCCATGCAGGTTTTGCGTTTATGTTTCCATAAACCGGGCAAAATGTAGGCCATGGGGAGTGACGGACCTTTGTTTCCTGACGGCTGATAAAAGAATGGACAAGGCTTGCATTTCATTATTCCGCTGAATGACGTCACTGATTTTTATTGTTTAGTGTCTCAGTGTTTTTGTGTTAATGATTAATTAAGCGATCAGTGAAGCTAATAGTTTGGGCGTATTGTATGTGGATTAACACGGTATGCACACCGGCCTTAACGTTTTAACCTCCAAAAATGCCAAAAATGTCAGTTCTAAAATATTTTCGCTAGTACGATGCAGTGGTCTTATATCAGCACACCGTTTGTCTTGAACCACTTGTAACGCCATATATTCTAGATGACCCCGAAGACTTTATGTTTCGAGTCACCGCTAATCAACATTAATCCTTTATTGAGATTTACCCTTCTCATCCAGAGCTATTCCGCTAGGAACAGCGAGTCCTGATGTGACGACCGCCTTCCTGCTTCCGCCGCTGTAGTCACACATCTCGATCTTCTCCTCCTTGTCCAGCTCCGTCCAGTAGATGTTTCTGCAAAGCGGATGTTAAATAGTGTTATCAGTTTCAAATACATCTAACATGGTTCCACTTAGTTTTAACCCGTGGAGATCTGGGTTAGAATAGGTCTTCAGCAACCCATGCTTCCCGTAAAAGGCGACTATGCTTGTCGTAAGAGACGACTAACGGGATCTGGTGGCCAGGCTCGCTGACTTGGTTCAAGCATGTCATTGTATCCCAATTGCATGGATTTATGTTCATGATGTCAATCACGAGGTTGTCTGGCCCAGACTCGATTATTTACAGACCGCCGTCATATAGCTGGAATATGTATGAGTGCGGCGTTAAACAACAAACAAACAAACTTTGTTTTAACTATACATGCGTGTTGTTTAACGTCCCACTGAGCAATAAACCATTCATTGCGGCAGTCCATAAGTAAACGAGTCTGGACCAGACAAGCCGGTGACTGATATTATGAGCAACGATAGACGCCGTCGGGGTACTATGAAATACCATCAATTCAGTCGCCGAGCCTGACCAACCGTTCCTGAAAGTCACCTCTTACGTCATGCATTGGTTGTTGGGGACCATTTTATATCGAGGTGACAAAGTGATTATAACCCTACAGTGCCAGTGTGTTAAATACATGCGTATATACTGAGTATGAATACGCCAATTTACTTTTGTCTGTTTGTTGTTTAACGCCGCACTCAGCAATATCCCAGTCAGACCAGACAATCCATTGATTGACACCACGAGCATTGATCAACTCAAATGGGATACAATGACATGCATCAACCAAGTCGGCGAGTCAGACCACGTGCCTCCCTTTAGTCGTCTCTTACGATTAGCATGGATTGCTTAAGATCTATTCTACCCCGAATCTTGACGGGGCTCCATTTACTGATTTTACTGGTATCACGTATATGTACACATCTGAGCCTGTGGGGGGCGGTCGGATAGCCTAGTGGTTAAAGCGTTCGCTCGTCACGCCGAAGACCCGTGTTCGATTCCCGACATGGGTACAATGTGTGAAGCCCTTTTCTGGTGTCCCCCGCCGTGATATTGCTGGACTATTGCTAAAAATCAAACTCACTCATTGAGTCTGGGGAATATACATCATCCACAGTTCTGATTCGAAGGCCATAGTGCCAGTGAGGATGTTGTCAGGACCTCTTCTAAAACGGTATGAATATAATGCAGTTCGCCTGAACCAGTTTTGCAGTGAGTGAGTGAGTGAGTGTGTTTGGTTTTACGCCGCTTTAGCAATATTCCATCAATATCACGGCGGGGGGCACCAGAAATGGGCTTCACACATTGTACCCAGGTGAGGATTCGAATCCAACATGAAGACGTGACGAGCGAACACATTAACCACTGGGCTACCTCATCTACCTTTTGACCTACTTGTTTGTGGTATCTGCTACAATCCCCCGTGGTTGTTCTAACCCCGTGTGTACAATCACTGTCCTCCCCAGGCTGTCCATGTCCATCCTGCCGATGACTTTACTGCCCTCGTCTGTGTAGAACAGTTTCCGCGAGGCACCGTCTAGTGTCACGCCTCCGAGTAAGCACGCTGTGGATGTAAAGATGAGCGAGTGAGTATGGTTTTACGCCGCTTTTAGCCATATTCCAGCAATATCACGGCGAAGGACACCAGAAATGCGCTTCACACATTGTACCCATGTGGGGAATCGAACCCGGGTCTTCGACGTGACGAGCAAACGCTTTAACCACTAGGCCACCCGACCGCCCGTAAAGAAGATGAAGGATAGACCAATTACTTCATCCCATCAGATGCTCTCTGTGTCATTTCAGGATCTCAGCATCTATCATAATCTCCCCTTTTTCCAACAATCCCGCCCTTCGATGATAAATTAATTCATATTTTGAATATCAAACTTTCAATTCATATTCGCGTCCTATCTGAGCCAGTTTGATGTAGCGATTTTCGAGCCATGTCCAACGAAACTAGGCTTGAATGTAACTACGTGGGTAATAAAACCCGGGCCGTCGTTTTCGATGTTGTAGTTTAACGTCGTACACAGCAATACTCTAGCTATATAATCGAGTATGGACCAGATAATCCAGTGATTGACACCATGAGCATCGATCTACGCAATTGGGAAACGATTGCATGCATCAACCAAGTCCGCGAGCCAGGACAAATATAGGTTGCTGGGGTACAATTCTAACCCGGAATCCTCACGAGAACTATTCCATCTGGGCTGATTTAAAGCGTCATGATTTAAAGTTCCATTCGTGAAAATAACAGTGTTCCCCGATTGCACTATTCTCAAAGTTAAACTACTTGGACATCGTTATATACCCTGCACAGTAACCCTAAATAAAACCGACCGCCTCCGCCCAGCGAGTGGAAGGACCGGAGTTCGATCCCCGGCCGCGTCATACCAAAATACGTTACTTGTTGTTATCCTGCCTGGCACACACATCTGCATACACGTCGCTATATAAGTGCAATTATCTTAAGGTCTTGTAACTATTTATATGTCCTGCTTATACTAACTTAATGTTAAGGTATTTGCCCTCGTATTGTTATCAATATCCTACCATGCACAAGTTTGTATTGCTACTCACAACAAATGACGACAGCATTTTATTTCAGCAAGCTCTTTATCGTGAAAAAATGTTTAAACTTAGAAATTCCAATGCCTAAATAAACTGAAGTGCTTTTTCACAATATGTCAAATATTATCCAATCATCTGTACTATTGGCCTCATTGCCAGACTATACGAAATAAATTCTGTTCTGTTCTGTTAAATAATCTTGGACCCGACCGTCAAACCCCATTTCACCTCACCTCACCAATAAAATCCCTCCCCATCCCGTACCGCAACCCCACTACTTTTTCTTCGGGGAGGGGGGCGGTGGGGTAGCCTAGTGGTTAAAGCGTTCCCTCGTCATGCCGAAGACCCAGGTTCGATTCCCCACATGGGTACAATGTGTGAACCCCGATGTCTGGGTCGTGCCAGAATCCTACATGTATGATCGTGGTTTCGAATCCCAGATTACCCTGTTTGTGGTTCTGGGTTTGCCATCTATGCCGTGGTAAACGTGGTAAACGTCTAAGACCAACATCAAGCCGACACGTCGTAATATAACTAAAAAAATGTCCCAAACGGCGTTAACCCAACCCACTCAACCACCTTCACATACTTACAAGAGTTGAAGGAGGCAACCACCACATCATCCACGCCGTCAAGACTCGCCCTTCTTATATAATGCAACTTAACGTCAGTCCAGTAGACATGGCCTGTAGTTACATCATAGTCTATGGCGAATGGCTTGTTAATATTTGGGACTTCCAGTTTTGTGAGGTTCTTTTGAGAGACGTTGAACATATAGATGGAACCTGCTTCTCCAGCGTCCCCAACATCCGTCACAAGAACGACCACTTCCGGTTCCGGAATCCCTGTGAAACAATGTAGTATTTGTCTAACTATGTACGAACATAAATTTGAAACAATTGTCGCCACAAGTTTGGAAAATATTTATTTGTTTTCAAAATCATATTTTAATTGGGTGGCACGGGTGACCCAGTCGTCTAAGGTGCCGCGTTTCGCTGTGCAGAGTTGCGTCCCTTGGGCACGCCAGAAACCTAAGATTGTGGGTTCGAATCCCGGTTCGCCCCAATTATGTTTATAGGTTTGCCAGTACCATACCCGTGCTCGTGGGTTTCACCGAAGTGGTAAACGTCTTAGTCCTGCATCACTTCGGGCTTTCCTCCCACATTAAGCTGACACGCCTTGATATAACTGGAATAATGTTAAAAGCGGCGTTAAACCCAACTCACTCACTCATATTTTAGTTTCTTAGGTCAATCTAACAATAGATATTGTTTCAATTTACACAGACACACTTTACAATGCCTATAATCTTGCTCTGGATATGGACAACAGATCGACCCGTGAAGATCCGAGATAAAATAGGTCTTCAGCAACCCATGATTCCCGTCAGAAGCGACTATGCCTGTCGTAAGGGGCGACTAACGGGATCGGGTGGTCAGGCTCGCTGACTTGGTTGACACATGTCATCGTATCCCAATTGCGTAGATCGACGCTCATGGTGTCAATCACTGGATTGTCTGGTCCGGACTCAATTATTTTCAGACCGCCGTCATATAGCTGGAATATTGCTGAGTGCGGCATTGAACAACAAACAAACAAAGACTTTTGAACCTAACACCTTCTTAAAAATATAAAACTATATCCACATAACCTCTGTGAACAAACTTTTAGTAAGCGAATGATTGACGGTGCCACCGGTGGGACAGGAGAGTTTCCCGAACATGACTATTACCGTATCATTACTATTTGATGACCTCTGTGAACAAACTTTTAGTAAGCGAATGACTGACGGTGCCACCGGTGGGACAGGAGAGTTTCCCGAACATGACTATTACCGTATCATTACTATTTGATGACCTCTGTGAACAAACTTTTAGTAAACGAATGATTGACGGTGCCACCGGTGGGACAGGAGAGTTTCCCGAACATGACTATTACCGTATCATTACTATTTGATGACCTCTGTGAACAAACTTTTAGTAAGCGAATGATTGACGGTGCCACCGGTGGGACAGGAGAGTTTCCCGAACATGACTATTACCGTATCATTCCTATTTGATGACCTCTGTGAACAAACTTTTAGTAAACGAATGATTGACGGTGCCACCGGTGGGACAGGAGAGTTTCCCGAACATGACTATTACCGTATCATTCCTATTTGATGACCTCTGTGAACAAACTTTTAGTAAACGAATGATTGACGGTGCCACCGGTGGGACAGGAGAGTTTCCCGAACATGACTATTACCGTATCATTACTATTTGATGACCTCTGTGAACAAACTTTTAGTAAACGAATGATTGACGGTGCCACCGGTGGGACAGGAGAGTGTCCCGAACATGACTATTACCGTATCATTACTATTTGATGACCTCTGTGAACAAACTTTTAGTAAACGAATGATTGACGGTGCCACCGGTGGGACAGGAGAGTGTCCCGAACATGACTATTACCGTATCATTACTATTTGATGACCTCTGTGAACAAACTTTTAGTAAACGAATGATTGACGGTGCCACCGGTGGGACAGGAGAGTGTCCCGAACATGACTATTACCGTATCATTACTATTTGATGGCGATTCATAAATATATACTTAAAGTGTGATATCGAAATAGTACAACTGATTTATTATTATTATGGAAATGGTTTTACAACTTATATTTAAATGTCAGTCAGTAATATTGCAGCCACATCACGATAGCCTACAACTAGTCGATTCCGTGGACCATTAACTGATGGTATAAGTACCTATCCATTCCATCGAAATACAAAGACATATCACCCAGGAGGCTCACACTGTAGGTGAGTTAACACAGCTTTTAACATTATGTCATGATCAGTTAAATCACAGTGTGTCAGCTTGATGTGAAAAACATAAAGCGACAAATCCAATAGAAATCTCTGCATAATTCCGACCACATCATGAGCATGTGTTTATGAATCACTATCAAACAGTGATACCAGGTGTTCGCGAAGGGGTGAGCATATCCTGCACCACCGGTGGCACCGTCACAAACACATGCAAAGACAAGTCAATTCTTCACTTGAAAAAAACCCATGGGAACATATGGTACAAGCCAAAATAGGGAATTGCATCGGACATCATTTTTGTCACTGATGCGTCAAATTTGGAAATGTCCTCCACATGTCTACCATAAAACTTTTTGAAAGCTTAACTGAGGCATTGTATGCTGTTAAGCCGGAAGGAAAGCCGGAAGTGATACAGGTCTTAGGTGTTTTCCACTTGGTGAAACCCACGACCAAGGGTATGGCGGACCAAGGGTCATAATCAGAGTGATCCCGGCAATCGAACCACGATTCACTCAATGTATTTAATGCACAATATTAATAATCATAATGTCAGTCAGCTGGAAACGACAAGCATTGGATTCAGCGGACATTGCCTGGCATGAAACCAGTAAACTAAGTTGGTATTGCTTTTTACATTACATGAATGCTAAGTGCACAAAATTAGTTTGAGAAATGTACTGAATTACCTTGGCATCTGTATTGCAACACCAGATATGGCACAAGCACAAAGAACATTGATAAAGACGCCATTATCCATCACTGCTGAGTCGGATACTGATTCGAGTAGCTGACAACTTCCCTGTTGCAAATGTCAGCTAGTGGATGCTTTGTTGAACATCGAGAGATGCCTTCCGGAACAACTAAAACATCTGTATAAACTTATCTGTGTCTAATGGGCTTGTTTTGGACATCTGAGTAAGTGAGTGGGTGAGTGAGTATCGTTTTACGCCGCCTTTAGCAATATTACAGCAATATCACGCAAGGGACACCAGAAATGGTCTTCACACATTGTACCCATGTGGGGATTCGTACCCAACATTAAGACGTGACGAGCGAACGCTTTAACGACAAGGCTATCTCGTCTTCCCATTGAGTAATGGCTGTACGGGGTGACCTGCTTGTTTGTGGTATCTGCTACAATCCCCCTCGGTTGTTCTAGCCCCGTGTGTACAATCACTGTCAATCATGGTATCTCAGTGGGCTAGCACTATAGTATCAATCCGGACTAGTACAAGCAGCCACCACACACACACACACACACACACACACACACACACACACACACACACACACACGTCGCTATATAAGTGTAATAATCTTGGACGCTACGTTAAACCCAATTTCACCTCACCTCACCTCAATGTTTAAATATTCGAGTGAGTGAGTTGAATTTCACGCCGCTTTTAGCAATATTCCAGAATATTACGGTGGGGGACACCCGAAATGGGCTTCACACATTGTACCCATGTCGGGAATCGAACCCGGGCTTTTGGCGTGATCAGCATACCGGCCCCCACCCTCATAGGCTAAAAGGTATGTTTCTGTATAATCATATTGTTAATTTCATTGGCGACGTATGTCGTTGGTTACGTGGGTGTGCGTGTGCCCCCCAACTACCACACACACACACACACACACACACACACACACACACACACACACACACACACACACACACACACACACACACACACACACACACACACACACACACACACACACACACACACACACACACACCAGGCGATGTGCTGTAATTACTGTTTTATTAAATGTAACAAGAAGTGTGCATCTTCAGACATATTTTACTGTTCATATCACGGAAGTCACATATTCTTATGTACAATTTGTGTAACTCCCACGAGTAAAATAGTGCACATATATATTTTTTATTTGAGCATTTTATTACAATAACATACAACACCTTTTAGGGTAGCATTGATATAAATGATCTACTGAATAGATTTAGCCTGAAACTGAAACGAGCACACGGGCGACTTACAACACAGGCCTTCAATCCTCAAAGACCGTTAGATATGACAACACCTGGTTTAAAACTGGAAGGGGTGTACACGTATATGTGTGTTATCCTGAGTGTCACATTCTGATATAGGAGTTAATTGGAAAAAGTAACACACTACACATATAGATGTCTTCTTAATGAAAACAAACTAGTTTCCACTACATTTGCAATCTTGAACACGTAACGGAGTTATGCATAACATTTCCTTTCGTGTTAAACAGAAATACATGTGGCAATGAGATTGTTGAAAGAATAAAACAGTACCCCTCTTCTGACAATATACTAAACATCAAACGTCATGGAATTTTCACTGTTTTAATTTCATCATACTAGTTTCATAAGAATGTTCAAGTACTTGGTCGAATTCCTACACGAACCGCCAACTCTAGATTATAATCCTTGGTTTGTCAGCAACTCGTCCGTGCTCGTAGGCTTAGCCGAACTTGTTAACATCTTCGATCTTAAACGTTATACTGTCTAAAGTACTAAAACAGTATCAATGCGGGACTAGCATATATGAATGTTACTTTGGGTAAAAGACCCGTGATGATCCCGGGTGGAATGGGTCTTCAGCAACCCATTCCTGTCGTAAAAGGCGACTATGCTTGTCGTAAGAGGCGACTAACGGGATCGGTGGTCAGGCTCTCTGACTTGGTTGATACATGTCATCGTATTCCAGTTGCGTGGATCGATGCTCGATTATTTACAGACCGCCGCCATATAGCTGGAAAATGCTGAATGCATGTATACATGCAACTACAAATATAGATAAATACATTTTCACCCGAACATGTTGCATCGTGACCATCTAGTGTCTGCTAACATGAAACACAAATCCATACGTAACAACTCAAGTCACCAGTGAACTATATCTCAATACCAATTCCTTGTGTATTATACTGATCATGACCTCGTGTAAGATGCTTTTCTGATGCTTTCCACGAAAAGGATATAATAGTTTTTTCGTACAGACATGTTCCTACATGTCTATGACGTATGTCAGGTGTACAAGAATGCTAATGGATGGGCATGTTACCATGGAAACTTGACAAGTCACCCATATATTTAACATGTTAAAAGATTGTATAAACCGCAGCGTCAATTTGTTACGTCAATCAGAAACGTTCACGTTTCAAACATTACTCCTGGGACTCTCACAATATACCATGTCTGATTTTATGTGCATTTTAACACTAAAACACCCACAATATGAATTACATTTTGACGAGCGTGTGCCTGCGGACTACCGTTGGGTCGTCACGGCAACACACCATGATGTCCCATTACGTCACCCTGTAACGTAACACTCACTCACCCAAGACGTAATCTACAGATACATGTACCATCGTCATATAAAATCAGTATTTCCCTTTATGGTAGATCGGAAGAGCATTTTATAATACAATGCGATCAGGATTAAAAGTTAATAGTAATTATTTTGCATGTCAACTGATAAGGAATCCGATTAAAAAAACTAGGAGCCCTGTGAACACGAGTGGTGCCAGCGCGTTCAGGATTAAAAGTTTATATAAGTAATTATTTTGCATGTCAACTGATAAGGAATCCGATTAAAAAACATAATGAGTCCTGTAGACACGAGTGTTGTCAGCGAACATTCTGAAGATTGCAGCGAAGACACAATCCGTTGACTAAAAACACATACATAAATTGGAAAATCAACAATATTCAATTAGATACTCTGGGTATATTTGACTTTCGCTGAAAATCACGTAGATTCTCGGGCTTGTTTCATTATCACATGCTGAGTCAGCGAGTTTAGTTTTGTTGCTGGAATCCAACACTGGGGGACGTTTCAGTTCTCGGTTTCCTTGCTTCGACTTCCCAACAAGAACTTTAGCCAAGAACATGAACCTGTGACGACGGGCATCTTCTTTAGCGTAGCCATCCGAATACTTGGCGTCCACAGCAAAGTATGCCCCTTGGCCATAGATGGCGCCCACTCTACCTCCGGCTAACCGGAAGTCGATGTTTTGGTGCGGGATGAGATCGGCCGAGTCTGGTGTGGTTCCGTGAAAGAGTTGCTTTTCATTGGCAAGACCACGACCGTACTCACGTTCCATGTTGCCCTTGGCCCTGAAAGTAACAACACGAATGAAGTCTTTTGGGGTTTGAAGACACAACTGAGCCATGCCAATAGACATCTAGACAACAACTAGCATGAAGGGACGGTATGTAGATGTCAAGCGCATAGGGAAACGATGTCAACGCGTATCTCTCTTTACTGTGGGAAAACATCGAAGCGAAAATCTCATTTATCAGTCTCAGAGGTGAGGTGAAATTGGTTTCACGTCGGGTCCAATATAATTGCATTTATATAGCGACGTGCATGCACGTGTGTGTGTGTGTGTGTGTGTGTGGCTGATTGTACTAGTCCGGAGTGATGCCGATTTATATTGCTAGCCCACTGAGATACCATGCCGCAGTTTAACATGAATACCCCACTCAGTCACGGTATACTGACTCCGAGCCGACCAGTCCTTGTTTTAGCCCCTTAATGCCGAGCTCCAGACAGGGTAACAGCAAGTACCATCTTTAAACGTCTTTTGGTATGACGCGACCGAGGATCGAACCCCGGACCTGGACGCTCTACCACTAGACCACGGAGGCGGTCTATCAGTCTCAGAGGTGTGATACAAAATCTATGGTGGCAACTGTCTTGTGAAGGAAGATATAATTTATGATAATAAAGAAGAAGTTGACATCCATATATTCTCTTCCTTGTGTGTATCACTTCTAAATGCTTATCAAAGACTTGACTGTCTGGTTGACATTTGCTTGAATAACATTGATGCCAATTGTCTGGTTGTAATTGCTGTGCGGATATAGTGGAAAATATCTGGTTATACTTGCCTGTCAAAGGATACGAGTGTCAATTGTGTGTGTGATATGTGTTTCATTACCCTTGTGCTGATGACGATGATATTACGTATTTGTAGTATCATCATAATTGTGCGCCCGATGGTTTGTGCACGAGTAAGTGAGTGAGTGAGTTGGGTTTAACGTCGCTTTTAACAGTATTCAAGTTATATCACGGCGTGCCAGCTTAATGTGGGAGGAAAGCCAAAAGTGATGCAGGTCTCAGACGTTTACCACTTCGGTGGAACCCACGAGCACGGGTATGGTGCTGACAAACCTAGAAACATAATCGGGGCGAAACCGGGAATCGAACCCACAATCATAGGTTTCTGCGCAACTCTGCACAGCGAATAGCGGCGCCTTAGATGACTGGGCCACCTTCCCCCCCCCCCCCCCCCCCCCCCAGTTTGTGCACGAGTGCAACTACATTCATCATATATACTTACACGCTATACTGTTCCCACAATGCCACGTTCTGGATGCGGAAGATGGACTGGATACTCTTATTGGACAGTGTGTCCTCCATCCTGGACTCGACGTGTCGGTACTCAAAGGCCGTCAACGGGTTGGACTCACTCAACTCCACCTTCATAAAGCCGTCCCGTCCCATGCTTTCCCAGTGTGCCGGAAGACGCTTTGACTGGCTCATTTTCGAGGACAAAGGCCGCTTTGCAATTCTGAAAATCAACATACACATCATGAGTAAGAGTGTTCAATAAATAGTCTTGTACTGATAAAGTTGTAAAGGTATATGTACTGTATAGTCTTGTCATAATTGATCATGTAATGTATGTCTTTGATTACATTTTAATTTGTAACAGGATTTCATTTTTTGCATATTAAGTACATCAAGCTACAAATTTTTCAGAGCCTTGGTGTTCTGAAGAACAATCCTGAACAACGAGTTCTGCTCTTCCTTTCACAGAACAAACATTAGATAAAAGCACATTATGGCCTGTCTCTGTTAAGCCCCACTATTAGATATTTTTCAACACTGCTTTCGTGCATTACATTCATTATTTGTAAGTAACTCAGTGCTACTGACCTAACGTTTACATCCTAAAGTTGGAGCATATCTGCTTATTAACGATCAGTCTTACCTATCTAACATAACGCGGACTTCTTTGTTTTTCACGAAATTAAGGGGCGTCTTCCCGGCCTTGTTTTCCAGCCTGATGTCTCCTCCACGTTCAGCGAGATGGCAGCGTATCTCCAGTGCCAAATCCTCGTCCTTGGAACCCTCCTGCAGATAGTGAATACAGTTCTAGCAAAAACATTCAACAATACTTTAACTGTTCCTATAGATAGTAAAGACAGCCCACTCAAAAATATTCATCAAAGTTTACCTCTCCAACGGACAGTGAAGACGGTTCTATCATTAACATTCAAAACAGTGTACCTCCTCCAACAGACACTGAAGACGGTTCTATCATTAACATTCAACACAGTGTACTTCCTCCTTTCTACGCTGTCAAGAAATCATCAACATTCAACATACATTAACTCCTTCTGCAGACAGTGTAGACAGTTCCATCATCAACATTCAACATACATTAACTCCTTCTGCAGACAGTGTAGACAGTTCCATCATCAACATTCAACATACATTAACTCCTTCTGCAGACAGTGTAGACAGTTCCATCATCAACATTCAACATACATTAACTCCTTCTGCAGACAGTGTAGACAGTTCTATCATCAACATTCATCATACATTAACTCCTTCTGCAGACAGTGTAGACAGTTCCATCATTAACATTCATCATACATTAACTCCTTCTGCAGACAGTGTAGACAGTTCCATCATCAACATTCATCATACATTAACTCCTTCTGCAGACAGTGTAGACAGTTCCATCATTAACATTCATCATACATTAACTCCTTCTGCAGACAGTGTAGACAGTTCCATCATTAACATTTAACATACATTAACTCCTTCTGCAGACAGTGTAGACAGTTCCATCATCAACATTCATCATACATTAACTCCTTCTGCAGACAGTGTAGACAGTTCCATCATTAACATTCATCATGCATTAACTCCTTCTGCAGACAGTGTAGACAGTTCCATCATTAACATTTAACATACATTAACTCCTTCTGCAGACAGTGTAGACAGTTCCATCATTAACATTCATCATGCATTAACTCCTTCTGCAGACAGTGTAGACAGTTCCATCATTAACATTCATCATGCATTAACTCCTTCTGCAGACAGTGTAGACAGTTCCATCATCAACATTCATCATGCATTAACTCCTTCTGCAGACAGTGTAGACAGTTCCATCATCAACATTCATCATACATTAACTCCTTCTGCAGACAGTGTAGACAGTTCCATCATTAACATTTAACATACATTAACTTCTTCTGCAGACAGTGTAGACAGTTCCATCATCAACATTCAACATACATTAACTCCTTCTGCAGACAGTGTAGACAGTTCCATCATTAACATTTAACATACATTAACTTCTTCTGCAGACAGTGTAGACAGTTCCATCATCAACATTCAACACAGTTTACCTCCTCTAAATACAGGAAAGACTGTTCCATCATCAACATTCAACACAGTTTACCTCCTTTATACACAGAAAAGACTGTTCCATCATCAACATTTCACAAAAATCAACATTCACATAACGCAACTCCTCCTATAGATATTGCAGACAGTTCATTAATCCACTAATCCTTGTACTCACATCTCCTGGCAGGGTGCTGTCCATGTGAGCGGCGTGTAGAGGGGAATTGCCGTCTTTGTCCTGTACGTTGATCTCCGCCCCTGCAGATCAGTAAATGATGATATAGGAAGAGACGGATCTCATAACTGGCATATACACAAGGAAGGTATATATTATTTATTTGCCGGACAGTGTGTGGAGTGTATTACACTGTCACGCCAGGACGCCAAAATGACATCCATATGCTACAAAAATATATCAGATATATGTACGTGACGAAATACAACTGTCTTGAAAGCATTCAGTCTTAATTGCTCGACTATCCATACTCGCCAGTTGGACATTCTGCAGGTTACAGATATGAATGGCACACTGCATGTTAACCATACTCGCCAGACACGCCGACCAGTTGGACATTCTGCAGGTTACAGATCTGTATGGCACACTGCATGTAAGCTATACTCACCAGATTCCAGGAGCAGTTGGACAATCTGCAGATTACATCCTTGCACAGCCAGATGAAGCGCTGTCTTGCCGTTGTCGTCTCGTGCATTGACGTTGCAGCCAGCCTAGTTGAGATATAACAAAATTGACATTGACACAGCTGGTGGCATATTTTAACTATTACCGATAAATGCTGCACCGTTAACCTCAGACAGGTACTTCTCAGTATCGGCAAATTTTGGAAAAGCGCAGGAGCTAATTAGTCTTTACAACCTTTAGATTTTACAAGAGGCTTACCTTAACCAGGACACCTGCCAGTGCCACAAAGCTCCTGAAAGCTGCTATGTGTATTGGGGTTAGGGCGTTGTTCATTGGAACGTTGACAATCTTCGGGTCTCTTTGTATTAGAGCTTGTGGAAACCTTTTAAAAAACGAAGGGGCATCATAAACGAAGATCACAGTAATTGGAGTAGGTAGAATCTCCTGGCATGGATCTCTTGTCATGAAGACTCTTTACCAGTTTTACAAATTATTGAACAACAAAAACATGACTGCTGTTCGCAATGATAAAGCATACATGTTCTTGGGATCCAGAGTTGCGTCCCCAAATTACTTCAACACACTTTTCAGTGATTCAATTTTCTATCAATACGATACCAGTAAGTTATGCTTCAACACAATCTCACAAATTCAATGATCAATGAATAGACGACAACAAAGCATGCTTCAATATTCAGTGATCTTCATGATCAGGTGATGAACTCACTCTGTGGCCCCAGACAGAGACGTACACGCTTCATGGAAAGGGTTGCAGCCTGATGAGTTAGCGAGTCTCATGCTGAGCTCGGCACATTCCAGGAAGGGGTCAAGAAGATGCTGGTTCTGGGTTCTGATGGCATCGTGGAGGGGCGTATCTCCGTCCTCATCCTTAGGGATAGATATAACAAAATGCTTTATACTTTAAGGACTCAGAAAATTGTAAGGCTTCTGAAAATGAAACATACAGAAGTACATAATCCTAATCGATTGGAAAGTTACAATACGCTGATGGTTTAAGGATTTATATAAATAATAAGATAAATATATATATATATTGTAATTAAGTTATTTAGTCTCATATTGTGTCTTGGTAACTTGCTTATTCCTACTGACTGACTAAACCATTGTGCTGCGTCTACCTGTGTGTTCGGGTCACACTTGGACCGTATAAGTCTCTTCAAACACTGGACACTGGGGTTCTTCTTGGCCACTGCCAGATGTATTGGTGTCAGTCCCTTGTTGTTCTTCGTGTCGCCCCGTGCCTTGGCGTCCAGCAGTATCCCTACTAGGGTGGGCTGCTCTCTGTAAAATATGGCCAGAGATACATGGTCTAAATGTGAACCTGGCATATTGTTTAAGCCCTCTGGTATCTACATCCCTTCTTAACGCCACCGCCATTGTCATACGTCTGCCATGTACTATTGTCCCACATGAGCCTCAATTATTATTTTTAATATATTTAGTATTAACCTGTGTTTATAATTTATAAATTGTAAATAAACTGTAATTGTTGTTTAAAGATAATAATTTGTATTTTGGTAACCATGAAAATATCACCCTGTCAAATTCATATTTCAATCCTTTACCGCTCATGATTGACTTGCCTTTGCATGTGTTTGTAACTGGAGCTGGAGAAGGATACGCTCATCTCTGCGTGAAGCCCTGTTATCATATCTATTTGAGAGTGACTCGTAGCCACATACGTACTATGGACTCTTTGTTGAGCAAGGATTTCTAACGATTACAGGGGCGGTCGGGTAGCCAAGTGGTTAAAGCGTTCGCTCGTCACGCCGGAGACCCGGGTTCGATTCCCGACATGGGTACAATGTGTGAAGCCCATTTCTGGTGTCCCCCGCCGTGATGTTGCTGGAATATTGCTAAAAGCGGCGTAAACCCATACTCACTCACTCACTCACTCTAACGATTACTTTTACTCCGGACCATTTCTGGTATATATACCGGATATATGCTTATAACGAACTACGGTTATTACGAACTAAAATTATTGGCCATTGTGAGTTCGTTTACTGTAGCTATCTACCGTGGAGTGCAGGCATAGCGGGGACAACTGTCGTGACTTTGCCTAAGGTAAAATAATGATAGCTCAGGGTTCTGGGTAGACTAGGGGCACGGGTGGCCCAGTTGTCTAAGACGCCGCGATTAGCTGTGCAGAGTTGCGTCTCTTGGGTACGCCAGAAACCTATGATTGTGGGTTCGAATCCCGGTTCACCTCGATTATGTTTCTAGGTTTGTCAGCACCACACCCGTGCTCGTGGGTTTCACCGAAGTGGTAAGCGTCTGAGACCTGCATCACTTCGGGCTTTCCTCCCACATTAAGCTGACACGCCGCGAAATAACTGGAATACTGTTAAAGCGGCGTTAAACCCAACTCACTCTGGGTAGACTAGAGTTGCATTGTGGTAATTGGAGAGTGGCAGAATTAAGAATACGTGCTGCTCACCCTGACACAGCGTAGTGTAGAGGGGTATCACCATCATCATCAGGTTTGTTTAGATGCGCCTCAGCGCTGATCAGAAGCGTGGCAATGTCAGCATGACCTTTGTAACACGCTGTCTGCAGTGCCGTGAGGCCATCCACTGATTCGTTTACCTGATGAATAAATTCATAACAAAAATATATAAAGAAATACATTTTGGTTTATGATGATCACACTGTAAGAATATAGAGATATTCATATCTGCAACGAATTACGTTAGTAAACGTTTCTGAAGATTGCAGTGACGTCGCTATATAAGTGCACAAATCTAGAACGAGTCGTTGAACCTCATTTCAACCCCCTCACATCTTTGTGAAGGATTAATGCAACACAATATGGCGGTAAATGACTACAAAGACTACATTCAAAGATGGTTAAATATAGTTAAACCCATAGATTTTTAGATAACATAGATTTATACACATATCATAGTACCAACGTTTTGTTAATACGGACACTCGCTAATCCGGACAATTTTCCTGGTGACGGTTTTGTCCAGACTAACACTATTTGTTTTGATTAACAAATTATTTGTATTGGGTAATGTTTATTAAATCATGTGGACGTTCCTATAAGTTGTCTGAAAGGATCCGATTCCAGACTAAAGTGAATGCATTTTATTCCGCAGAGCATATCAGTTTGATACATTGTTTGATAGGCATTACTTAGAAGTTGACGGATGACAAAGTAGATACAATGTATGGAAAACAACTTCTTTAATACAGTGTAAAGGCGACGTTTCGGTATAGATACTGATACCGTTGTCAAGCAAGACTGAATGAGGGGCAGTGTACAGAATATATATAGTAGGTGGAGGATTAACAGTAGAGGATTAACAGTAACAAGGGGGCACGGGTGGCTCAGTCGTTTAAAGCGCCGCGATACGCTGTGCAAAGTTGCGCCCCTTGGGCACGCCAGAAACCTATGATTGTGGGTTCGAATCCCGGTTCGCCACGATTATGCTTCTAGGTTTGTCAGGACCATACCCATGCTCGTGGGTTTCACCGAAGTGGTAAACGTCGAAGACCTGCATCACTTGGGGCTTTCATCCCACATTAAGCTGCCACGCCGTGATATAACTGGAATACTGTTAAAAGCGGCGTTAAACCCAACTCACTCACTCACTAACCCAAACAATAACAACAATTGCCTACATGAGTGGAATAACATGAGTAGGTGATGATAACAGAAGGACAATGCTGTCACAACATGATGGACAGAAAACACATTGATGGAAGCCAATGAGACATTATCATTGTCATATTATCCTATAAGGATCTATACCGAAACGTCGCCTTCAAAGTATTAAAGAAGTTGTTATCCATAAATTGTGTCAACTTCGTCAACTTGATGCATGTGTATTGCAAGGTTTAGGAAAGCCTAATCACAACAGGTGACCCGGACCCTTCAATGTAAGCAGAGCAAAGGTTTTCAAAGAATACCAACATCTTGTTTTCATAAGATCGCCTCCTTAGTCTACGGTTAGAGTCCGCCCCGGCCAAGTCATACCAAAAGACGTTAAAAGATGGTACTTGTTGTTACCCTGTCTGGCGCTCGGCATTAAGGGGCTAAAACAAGGACTGGTCGGCTCGGAGTCAGTATACTGTGTCTGAGTGGGGTATTCATGTTAAACTGCGGCATGGTATCTCAGTGTGCTAGCACTATAAATCTCCATCAGTCCGGACTAGTACAAGCAGCCACACAAACACACGTGCTAGTCCTGCACCATGACTGTGGAATATATTTATTTTATGAAAAAAAATAATCTAGAAATGCATACAAAATCAAGTCTAGCCAGCTTAAGCTAGCTCTGGGGATTTTTATTTATATTTTTAAGTCAAGAAGGATATTGTGTAATATAACATTTCAGAGACTAAATGTTAGTCTAACACACGTGCATGCACGTCGCTATTTAAGCGCAAAAATATTGAACGCGACGTTAAGCCCCATTTCACCTCACCTCACCTGTTTTAATAAAGCTAACACTCGAGTGAGTGAGCGAGAGAGTTGGGTTTAACGCCGCTTTTAACAGTATTCGAGTTATATCACGGCGTGTCAGCTTAATGTGTGAGGAAAGCCCAAAGTGATGCAGGTACCACACGTTTACCACTTCGGTGAAACCCACTAGCACGGCTATGGTGCTGACAAACCTAGAAACATAATTCGGGCGAACCGTGATTCGAACCCACAACCATAGGTTTATTGTGTGCCCAAGGGACGCAACTCTGCGCAGCGAATCGCTGCGCCTTAGGCTGGGCCTCCCGTACCCCCTGCTAACACTCGAAGAAATGTATGCTCTTACTTACTCGTATCATCTTCCCGAAGCCAGGGTGTTAACTGACTTCAAAAATCCAGTTTCCACCCTTGCCGAACTACGCTAGAATTTCGTTGCTTGATCGTAGTGGCACCAACTAAATTGGACTTTTATAGTCAGTTAACTCCCTTGCCTTGGGAAGATGACATGTAGATGCTTCTAAATCATCACCTTTACAAGGCGAAACAATTTGTTGAGCTTAAACATGCATTAACATAATTTGTTTCTATATGTACATTACATTTACGTATATTAATGATCTTATAAATTTTGAAATGGTGATGTTTTTTCCCCAGAGTAATTATAACGGACCAAACAGAACTAGGATACTAGGATATACCCGGGTATCCGGTTGTGAAATTATACGGGATTGATACCCGGTTTAACTTTAACTGTGTTATTTTGATGCAACTACACCCTACTGAAAAGTGTAAGTGTCAGTGTGTGACTTGAGCCTAACGCCGCCATGACCCTATTCAGTTATTACACTGAGCGCCATCTTATGACGCAGGGCGTAGACGTTCCAAGATCCTAGAATCTTCATCGGGGCGAATCTGGGATTCGAACCCACGATCAGCGAATCCTGTCACGATAAGTGCAGTCACCTATTTCAGTATCGGAAGAATATACACGCAAAGATGTTAATCTCATAAGGCCGAAACATGTACCTTGTCACCAATAGACTTGACAATGTCTTTCACTGTTTCTGTGTCGCCGTTGCTGACAGCGATGAAGAGGTCTCGGGCAGTCACGGCGCTGCTGGATGACGTATTCGGCTTATAAAGAACACTGTCTCCTGGTTTCAGAAGGCCGAACAGGACCTTAGCCACACCTTCGGCTATGTCTGGGAAACAAGGATACAGTGAATGAGAAAGGTATTTTAAGTCGCTTTGAGGTGTAAATACGTTAAGGTGAGTGAGTGAGTTGGGTTTAACGCCGCTTTTAACAGTATTCCAGTTATATCACGGCGTGTCAGCTTAATGTGGGAGGAAAGCCCGAAGTGATGCAGGTCTCAGACGTTTACAACTTCGGTGAAACCCACGAACACGGGTATGGTGCTGACAAACCTAGAAACATAATCGTGGCGAACCGGGATTCGAACCCACAATCATAGGTTGCTGGCGTGCACAGCGAATCGCGGCGCCTTAGACGACTGGGCCAGCCAGTGGTTTAAACCAATGCCTGAAACATTAGGTTTATTGCTAAAATATTTTATGGTATAGGTGATGTATAATTACCATCCACATCGGATGTAGAAGATTCTGAGCTGGTGCTTTTATTGGATCCGACGGAGAGGCCGGAGCCAGACAAGGTTTCTCTGTCCTGAGGATCACAGCTGACGGGGTTGAAGAACCATTTTACTGGCCCAAAGGCAACCCTCAGGTCCCCGTCCTTGTCGATCTCCACCACCTGGCCTGTCCTGCCTAGACACTGTGGACGAAGAAGGATTGCAATAATGGTGGCAATAACATTGAAATAATTTACTTGTATAAAATGCTGGAGGCTATATACAGTGAGTGGCGTATTGTGACGCCGGGTTTGTGACTATTTCCTCATTCAGGGTTCAGCACTCTAGGAATAGGCTTTACACAATGGGCATTGTACCCAGGTAGGGATCTGCACGAGGGTTAAGGCGAGGCGACGTTATAACCACGGGGCTACCCCATCGTCCGTCTACTATTACAAATACAACGAGGAGGGAATCCCAATGCCAGTGACAAACGACTAAAACAAAGGCCAGTTCAAATGTAGCAGGAATGGTACTGATACAGTCGAACACCCTTGTGTCGAACTCTTACTTGTCGAATTCTTAAATGTCGAACTGACTGGCCGAATGTCGAGTGTCGAAGTTTCTTGTGTCCCAAACCTTTTCGGTATTTTTAAATGACAACATGCAAGTACAAAAATAGCAACCCGTGAAGATCCGGGGTAGAATAGGTCTTCAGCAACCCATTCTTGCCGTAAAAGGTGACTATGCTTGTCGTAAAAGGCGACTAACGGGATCGGGTGGTCAGGCTCGCTGACTTGGTTGATACATGACATCGATCCCAATTGCGTGATCGATGCTCATGATGTCAATCACCGGATTGTCTGGTCCAAACTCGATTGTTTACAGACCGGCGTCATATAGCTGGAATATTGCTGAGTGCGGCGTTAAACAACAAACAAACAAACAAACAAACAAAATAAACCCTTGTAAATCGAAAAGTTAAAACTGAACGTATGTACGTGCAGACAAGTTGTTTGTTGTAAAGGGACAGCTATGTTATTCAATTCATAATTAATTAAATTACTCCAATTTCTATCTTTTGTTATTCTTTTGTCAATATCAAACCACGTTACAGCTTATTATAATTATTATTCTCGTGGTGTGAATTTGTTCACGGATGTGTCCAACATTCGAATTCGTCTCAGTTCCCTCCGGCAATGGCGGGAAAGAATATTATTAAGAAAACAGCGTGTGCGTGTTTACGATGTGCTATACAGATACCAATAACACCGACAATCACACTGTTCTAGCAAAGTCACACGCTTCTCACAATTCGTCAGTCCGGCATTTGATTAGCTGAACAGTGTTACTGTGTAGGGTACAGTCCTTTATTTACAGGATTTAGTATCACACCCAACTACTTACATCTTCCAGGGGCGGTCGGGTAGCCTAGTGGTTAAAGCGTTCGCTCGTCACGCCGAAGACCCGGGTTCGATTCCCGACATGGGTACAATGTGTGAAGCCCATTTCTGGTGTCCTTCGCCGTGATATTGCTGGAATATTGCTAAAATCGGCGTAAAACCAAACTCACTCACTCACTCACTTACATCTTCCATTTTGTCATTCCATCCGCCATGTCCGTTCTGGAGCTCCACGGCAGCGTTGTAGTTGGTGATGAGCTTAACCGTGTCTCCGACGGCAAAGGTGTGCAGCTACAACAACGAGATGAACGCGACATCTTCAAACTTCTACTTTAATAAAGAAGAGTTGGCGAGTGAGTGAATGCGTGTTCAAAAGTACAGTAACGTCGTAAGTTGGAATGTACTTTTGTACATTTTGTCGGACATTCACGGTTACAGTCAGTGGACACTCTTATGGGCGAGGGTCAGGGGTGGCCCAGTCGACTAAGGTACCACGATTCGCTGTGTAGAAACCTATGATTATGTTTCTAGGTTTGTCAGCACCACACCCGTGCTCGTGGGTTTCACCGAAGTGGTAAACGTCTGATACCTGCATCACTTCGAGCTTCTCCCCACATAAAGCTGACACGCCGTGATATAACTGGAATACTGTTAAAAGCAGCGTTAAACCCAACTCACTCACTCTTACGGGCGAAGACAGGTCTATATAGACCTAAAGGCAATGCGTTCTTTCTGGATCTCAAACTGAACCATATCAGTGCAGTTGTTTTTTTAACAAAAAAACGAATCTTTTCATTGGACCAGACCTTACTTAATACCGTTAAGTTAATGCGATATGTCGACTACTCAGACATTTGGTGTTATTTTTAAAGTTGATGTTGCCAAAGAACAACCTACCCTTGTTAAAGTGGACTTAACCAGACCATACTCTTCTGCATCCTGGTACTGCGCAATAATTGCACTCTCGTCTCTTGAGGGAAGAGTAACGACGGTACCAACCTCTCCCAAACACTGGAAATAAAAAGACCTCGTTTCCTTAGTAAACCTGTTTTCCTTCAGAATTTAGGTCAGTTGTCGAAATAAAAATATATATATTAATAAAACAATTATGAAAAGCTAGAAGAATTTGTCACCAATGTCATTGACCACAGATGCGATTGTGATGTCGACGCGTATAACAATGGAACAATCAACACGGTAGAGACGACTGGTCCGTACCTGTGACATGCCTTCACGAAGACCTGTATGGTCCTTATGCATGCGTTCAAATATATCCTTGTCAACCTCCACTTTCACTTTGTCGCCAACTTTCAGGCGAACGTCATTTGGATTCACAACATCTACAACAACCAAACTGCAATTGTGAAAACATTTTCAAATATTCGTCTGTTTCCAAATTTGGGACGTGTCCTCACCTGATTAATGTCAATGTTATGATGAAAATGATATTGCTAAAATAAAGCTTTCAAACATTTATCCAAGCCTAAAGATATATTCCTACATCGTTTGAACTATTGATGCCAAATGTGTTGATGAGACTGGTCTAAATTTAGCTGGTAGTAATTAAAGAAATATATATTTTGACAAATATCCATGCCCTAGTAGATAATTAGCACCTAGCTGTGATTACACTATAGCTACCACCTCCACAAACAACAAAAGAAACAAACAAAAATAATAATGAAAAGCTAAATGCAACAATTAAAAACAAATAGTCAATACGATTTAGCCTAACACTGTTCAGTGAAATAGTTGTCCCTTTCCTTAGGGGTACAAATTCATTACCCACGCTGTCCAATATAAGGTAACCCTCGTAGCCATGTGGATATTGTGGTAGTTATTTGTACAACTAGTTGCTTGGATTATAGCTTAACTCGTCTTAATTAAACTACAGACACCTGTTGTAAATAAACAGCATGATTGGGTCAAAAGAATATTTTTTTAAATTTATTGAAAACTATTAACAATTTGATGCACACAACGATGGAGAAAATAAAGACAAAAATACTCCAGAAAAAATACTGGACGAAGTAATTTCAATTTTTTCGTTCGACAAACAGAATGTCCAGCTTAACTCTTCTTCATTAACCTACAGACACCTGTTGTAATTAAACAGCATGATTGCGACAAAAGAATATTTTTTAAATTTATTGAAAACTATTAACAATTTGATGCACACAACGATGGAGAAAATAAGTACAAAAATACTCCAGAAAAAATACTGGACGAAGTAATTTCAATTTTTTCGTTCAACAAACAGAATGTCCAGCTTAACTCTTCTTCATTAACCTACAGACACCTGTTGTAATTAAACAGCATGATTGCGACAAAAGAATATTTTTTAAATTTATTGAAAACTATTAACAATTTGATGCACACAACGATGGAGAAAATAAGTACAAAAATACTCCAGAAAAAATACTGGACGAAGTAATTTCAATTTTTTCGTTCGACAAACAGAATGTCCGGAATGGCGTTACTATCAACTCACCGAGAACCGGGAGATGAGCCTTGTAATACCTCCAGCCTTGTGCCTCGTCCACCGTGATGAGTTCCACCTTGCCCTGAGCACCCAAGCGGTAGCCCTCCAGACTGTCCTGCCCCCCCTCCCACCTCACATTGACAGCTCCCCGACTGTACCCTCCCGTCCATGACCCGAGCTTCACGACGTCCCCGGTGTTGCCCTCTCCACCTACAGACGCAGTGGTCAAAGATGTCAATGTAATGCTTGAGTATATGGCGTTCTTTTTTATGCACATGTATGAATGGCGGGTGCTACCGGTACGACAGGACATGCTTACCCTTTTCAATGGTCCCTTCATATAATTTGTCACAGCTATTTGCCCTTTACGCCAAGTGGAATCTGTTTCGGCAGAAAATCTAGGCTGGTTATTTTCTTGCATTGACAATTTATATTTACACCAGAATAGCAATTACCGTCGCCATTGTGACATTTGATGCACTCGATTTGGTCCAGTCTATCATGGTTCTGTGTCGACATTTTTGGTTGGTTGGTTTGTGGTTTAGCGCCGCAATATTCTAGCTATATGACGGCGGTCTGCAAATAATCAAGTCTGGACCACACAATCCAGTGATTGATATCATGAGCATCGATCCACGTAATTGGGGTCGATGACATACATCAACCAAGTCAGCGAGCCTGACCACATGATCGCGTTAGTCGCCTTTTACGACAAGCATAGTCACCTTTTATGGCAAGCATGGGTTGCTGAAGACCTATTCTACCCCGGAATCTTCACGGGTCCTGTGTCAACAACAGGTTAACACTTTATCGTCCAGGGTATCGTTGTACAAAGGATCTTAGCGCTAAGGTGATCGTAACTCCCATGCTTTAACATTGACTTACGACAGTCGCAGCGCTAAGGTTGTTTTGTACAACGGCTAAGTCCATATGGAATTATCTGAGTTAGGATTGCCTTAGCGCTAATATTGCTTTGTGGATCGAGGCCCGAGGTCTCTTAGCGCTACGACAAGCGTAAGTATGTCAGAGGATGGGAGTACCGGTTCAACTTGTCTTGACGCCAGATATTATTAGTTACGGCTCGCCCAATATGTTTCTGCTAACCTAATATGTCACCATAAATGGCAACTAAAGACACGATAACGAATTTATAATGCCGAAAAGTTTACACTCTCTGGTATCCATATCGCACATGTCATGTCAAAGTGAAAACTTGACACTTACAACCGTACGTTGACGTTAAAGGTCAAAGGGAGACTACTCTTCAAACCTTACACCCATATTAGGTCAGTATCAACCATCTTGGGTTTTTACTGATTTTATACGGACTCATGTGGGGTCAGTAGTTCTGCTCTCTGATTGGTCAATCTCACTTGGAGGCATAATAATGGTATTGATACAGGCCCTTGGCTTATGAGACTGACAAAACAACCAACGGATATTAATACCAATATTGATATTAACGAGGAACCAAATAACAGTGAAATTTATCAAATGAATATTTTATGTATGTATCTTCATACTTAATGGACAAAAATGAGGTGAGGTGAAATGGGGTTTTACGTCGCGTCCAAGATTATTGCACTTATATGGCGACGTGCATGCACGTGTGTGTGTGTATGTGTGTGGCTGCTTGTACTAGACCGGACTGATGCCGATTAATAGTGCTAGCTCACTGAGATACAATGTCGCAGGTTAACATGAATACCCCACTCAGACACAGTATACTGACTCCGAGCCGACCAGTCCTTGTTTTAGCCCCTTAATGCCGAGCGCCAGACAGGGTAACAACAAAGTACCATCTTTTAACGTCTTTTGGTATGACGCGTCCGGGGATCGAACTCCGGACCTTCCTCTCTCCGGGTGGACGCTCTACCACTAGACCACGGAGACGGTCGTGGGCAAAAATGAAGGGGCTTAGTGTTAGTTAACATATTTTGAAAGTAGATACCTCTTTAATTATGAAATAGCAGACAGAATCATATTTGAAAACTGACCGTCTTGACTTCCATATTTCCAGTGAGGACCACGCATCACCTTTGAGTCCTTGAACAGACCGATTGCACGGATTCTTTGTGTGCCGGAACGAGGCGACACTCGCACACTGAAACGGTGAGTGAGTAAGTGAGTATGGTTTTACGCAACTTTTAGCAATATTCCAGCAATATCATGGCGGGGGACACCAGAAATGGGCTTCACATGTTGTACCCATGTCGGGAATCGAACCCGGGTCTTCGGCGTGACGGTTAAACAACGAGGCTACCCGCCCGCCCCCTGAAACGATGAGGTTCGACAGGTTGTTTTATTCATATCAACTCAATCCTATATTTCATTCAATTAAAATCAATCAAATTTTCTTTTGTGGTAAAACCTTATCGTCAGTGTCACGTGATATCGACCATGCGGTTAAGACGATAATCGCCATCAAGAGAGTAGTTGTAAAGAGTGTCACGAATTGATTGCTTAATGGAAACCCTACACACTTCTTTAATAGCGGACGGTGGGGAAGCCTAGTGGTTAAAGCGTTCGTTCGTCAGGTCAAAGATCCGGGTTCGACTCCCTACTAGGGTACAATGTGTGAAGCCCATCTGGTGTACCCCGCCGCGACATCGCTTGATGATTGACTGCCAAAAGCGGCGTAAATCCATACTCACTCACTTTTTAATAGCTTTAGGAAATGAGATTTCATGCTTAGAAGCATTATAATACTTTTCATAGTTTCTATAGCTAATGACCTTTTTCACACTTCGCCACTTCCGGTTTGAAAGCGAGGCTTGGGAGCAAAGGGTGACGCCTGCATAGCACATGATACATATGGCGATGTCAACAAAACAACCGGGACAAACTGTGACAATTTGACCACGCCAATACGACCACGGCAACATTTATGGTAAGTATTGAACACCTCACATTCTTATCAATGACAAAGAATTCTATTGTCATCTGGTCTCCTCACTGAAGTAAGTGAGTCTAGACTTTCTGTTGTGATTTCAATTTCATATATCTATGACCACCTGGTAACCAACACCGAGTGCCGTACACAATAGCTGAACAACGACTAAATACAAATCCTACTGGAATTGTGTAATGAATTATTCACTGTTTACGCACCATTCACTAGAAGTTATAGATTCATTTGTTTTAGTCAAGGTGTGAGTTTGAACAACGTTGCGAGCTGTACTTGAAGTCAGCTGGGTCTTTGGCGAGTAGAAACTATTGACCTTTGACCAAGTCCAGATAGATGTCAGAAATTAACTAAATTGATATGTTTATTTTGTTTATCTTATCGTAACCTATTAAGAATTTACAATCATACCAAAACAGAATTTGCATCAGTTTTGATTTGATGTTAACTGTAATGCACTTAAATACATTCTAATAAAATATTTGATCTCCAGATCTGCTGGTGCTGCTCTGACCGTGAACAGAAGTTATCTTAATTGTCAATTATTAGTTGGTATGAGGTGTATTATTTCTACAGAATTATTACAAAGAGGGTTTTGACATAAATAAAATAATATGCGGTTTTACCAAACATTATATTTACTTCTCTGTACAAATATAATCATGTCATTAAATGAACAAACACCCAACTAATTAATGGGCAGTACATGTTCAATCTACATGTGAATCCATGTTATCGTTATGTAATGTACGGAAACAGATACGTCTTAAACAGAGATATTTCAAGTTTTGAAACAAAGACGGAGTTAACAGAAACAGACAGAAATTATGGGTGTTGTGTAATTCCCATGGCTATTACAATCATAACTCATTCATTCTCTTTGTCTGTGTTTTACTATGAAATCTATCTGGTTTTATGTACGCAAACATGTTTTGACAGTTTTAGAATTATTATTATTAGATTATTATTCATGGATATGTTATATGATAGTTGTGCTTAATGTGTCAGTGTGCAATAATTATATTATTATGATGTAATATTTATTTGTAAAGATTAACAATCTTTATAACATTATTTGTTTCAATCAAGTCAAGTGTTGTGATCATTTTGATAATTTGAAAAATTCAATCAGGACAATAAATATAAAAAATACATTGAGGAAATGTTTTTTTTTGTGTCAAATAATCATAATACTATGTATTTATCTCATCTTGTGAGAGCTGATATTTTCAATTTAAGTAAACCACAAGATGAGATAAACATTTTATTTGACTAAAAATACAAGTCTTATTCAAATTATATTTTCTTTGTGACCCTACCCTAAAAACCATTGTGTCAATGAGTGAGTGAGTGAGTATGGTTTTACGCCGCTTTTAGCAATATTCCAGCAATATCACGGCGGGGGACACCAGAAATGGGCTTCACACATTGTACCCATGTCGGGAATCGAACCCGGGTCTTCGGCGTGACGAGCGAACGCTTTAACCACTAGGCTACCCGACCGCCCCTTGTGTCAATGAGACACACTGACGTTATCTCACGCCAGCGGAATTATGTGTTCAGCATGTTCATACTGAACAAGGTATTTCATGATTACATACACAAAGCAAATATCAACACATGTCAACAAAAAATACCTGTGTGCCGTTGTACAAAGCTATCTTAGCGCTGAGGTGATCGTAACTCCCATACCTGAACATAGACTTACGACACTCGTAGCGCTAAGGTTGTTTTGTACAACGGCGCCCTGCTCATATAAACAAGAGTGGCTTTGTATGTCATTGATATAAAGAACTGTAGTACATTCTGTGTCACTAGAGTGATGCATCTGTTGTGTTTACGAACTCTATACAGTTTGGGTTTTAGACATATCAAACGAATTGATTCAAGATTGTTCTACAGTAGCATGTTATGTTATTCACTGTGATTAATTTTCCCCAAACTTCTCTGTTCAGAAAAATAGGGAAAATTGTTTGCTGAATAAAAATATATTGAGAAAAGATGAATATGCATTGTATATAAAAATATCATAGAAGTAGAACTTTTATTACAATATTGAAATATAAATTTCAGACTTTGAGTCCAGAGAGACAATGCAACACAGTGAATATCTACACAGCCTACAGTGTTCCCTCTCGTTATAAGCGTGTTCGTTTACTGTATCGGAAATCCGAAAGATTTTAGAGAGCTGCACATTTGACATTCACTAATATCCAACATTAAGTTTGATCAGAATCATTTAATTGAACCTACAAAACTTTTATTTACCTGATGGGGTTACAGGAATGGATTTTTATTATTGGGTTTATAAGCAGTCCAAATTAAAATTAAAGTTATTCCTTGAATATATTGTCAGGTTTTGGAAATAAAAATGATTGAGGATGATATGTCAGATAGATATTTTCCAGATCCACTTAGACATTATATTACTGACTGGACATCCGGTGGAACAATTATTATTTCTCCAAGATGATATTTTATTCTAGATTTGGGGTAAATGTTGGTATATTCATAGATCCAAGTAAAATATAACACCACTTATATTTGTTTGCTGGCAGATAATATTATTAAATTGTGATAATATCTGAAAAAGGGTGAACATTATGAAGATATTCAGAGCATGCTGAAAATTTTGTGTGATATCTTAATCTTTTAATGGTTGAAATCACATGATCAAAATCAGTGTCAAATAAAGAATATACAAAAGTTTGAAAGAAGAAAAGGTCACATATACTAATGTCACACTGACCGAAGTGTAACAAAATATATCTACAGATCTATATCACAACCTTAATTAATCCATTGACAAGGCTTCTATTGACATTAGGAAATTTAACAAATAATGAATTATTGTCCTGCTAAGACTAAATAGGGACACCATTAAATGTAAAATATCTTCTGTGTTAGACATAGAGGATATCATTTTATTGGTTGATATGTCTTTATGTGAAACACGGATACATGGAGTCTCCATCAAACTACCTAGAAATCCAACACAAACCGAACCGCAAAAAGGATTTTACTAGATTTCTAAGTGATCAAAATAACTTATGTAGAAAATACTAACAAGGTGGTGAGGTGAAATGGGGTTTAACGTCGCGTCGAAGATTATTGCACTTATATAGTGACGTGCATGTACGTGTGTGTGTTTGTGTGGCTGCTTGTACTAGGCCGGACTGATGCCGATTTATAGTGCTAGCCCACTGAGATACCATGCCGCAGTTTAACATGAATACCCCACTCAGACACAGTATACTGACTCCGACCACTCTACCACTAGACCACGGAGGCGGTCTAAATACTAACAAAATAAGTTTGCCTCAGGTTTGGCGGTCCGACTGCAATTTGTTGGGAACAGGAAAACGTTTCTCTACCCAGACGATAAAGAATGTCTGGAAACAGTGACACTATTCTATCTGAGACCCCCAACACCCCATCTACCCACCTGCACCCAACGAATATTTTACTGACAATCCCGAATTTGATTTGCATTTCATAGATGGTTTCTAATTTGTTTACTTCTACCCTGTGACGATGAACAGGTGTGATACTGAGCCGCATACTCACAGTGGTGAGTTGTTGGTGAGACACCGGAGGAAGGCGTGGTCCGTCGCATGGCGTTCCGTGTTGTAGCACAGAGTACATAAGTCAAAGTCCGTGCATTGCGAACACTTCCATCTCATTCCTGCAATGTTATCCTCCCCACACCCGTCACATATGAAGCCTTTATGTTGAACTCCTTTACAATAAACAAAGGCCCATTACAGAGATGGGAGCACATTCTGTGAGTTACCATCTTTTTACACAGAATATCTTTTGAAGGGTATACAGAACAGACTGATCGAAAATGGAAACATGAAATTACGTATTTCCGCTAAATGTAAAAAAGCTCATCAAGTCACACCTAAAGGCTGGAAGAGCTAAAATGACACGTGGTCTAAACAATTCAAAATGAAAATCGCTATTTTGTATCTCACAAAACAATTAATTCAGTGAGTTCAAATTGATCCGTGCTTTTATTGAACTCAATCTTCCATTCAAGCCATGTATGTCTTTTGTGATGGAATTTGATGACTACTTTGAATCTGACACAACACTATACAATTGAACAAACCTGACAAAACCATTTCCATATTCATAAAAAAATCGTGTCGATTGTACTATTTAAGTACTGTTCAAATGAGTAATATAACTTTAAACCTTGTTTACTTCATTATTAATATCACAATAATAATTATTAATAATTTACACACTGAAACAGATAGAATTTTATTAAGAGACAAGATATTTATTTTCGGTCACTGATCCAAAGTACGCATTTGTCTCTGAATGGAGCTGTAAAGTTTTCTTTTCTTATACAAGATGTCAGATAACCTTCAGATATGAAAGTTTTTCTCACCTGTAGGCCCCGAGTCAAACACCAGCAGCTCGAACTTGCTGTCAAACCCTGCCCGGTACTGGAACTCACGGCCACTGTCCCAGAAAACGGTCACTTTGCCTTTTGCCCAATCAGAAGCCTCTATCTTGACGACAGTTCCCACGTGACCTTCACCGCCATCTTGGTCTCTCCCCGCCCAATCAGGACCTCTGACCACCCTGATGCCCGGACATGGGTAGGTAGCGGTCATCGTGTGCGGACACTATGGAGGCTATGACAGACAATGAGTTACAAAATCCGCAATAGCTGGAAACGCTGGTAAAAGTTCAGCCTCTGGACGCCTGACGCCTGGACAGGGGTAAGTTTGTTTGTTTGTTGTTTAACGCCGCACTCAGCATTCCAGCTATATGAAGGCGGTCTGTAAATAATCGAGTCTGGACCAGACAATCCAGTGATTGACATCATAAGCATCGATCCACGCAATTGGGATACGATGACATGCATGAACCAAGTCAGAGATCCTGACCACCCGAACCCGTTAGTCGCCTTTTACAGCAAGTATGGGTTGCTGAAGACCTATTCTACCCCGGATCTTCACGGGTCGGACAGGGGTAAATAGCTGTCATCGTTTTGGGCTGTGGAGTCATAGGTAGACACGTGCTATTGAAGAAACAAATGAAAGTAAACCATGGTTTATGCATTTGAATATCGTGTAATTGGTGATGGCTACGCTGCGAAACCGGCTCTGGCATCTGCAAGTCATCATTATAAACGGAATTAGAACTCAAAGCAAATACAAATGAAACTCAATTTATTGAAACCGAAGCCGCCATCACAGCTTATAATAGAACTATGTTTTGTTAATCACAGTTGCAATCTCCCTATTTACATTTCCTTTGTCATGTCGGTCATATCAGATAAATGAGTGTTGTTGCTACTAGTTGGAGGCTAGGCCACCAGGTGTTAATCGGGAGGACAACTGATCAAGTCATCTAATTCTAAGTTGCCTGAAACCGAGAAGCCTATCATCCAGGGTTCGAATCCCAGATTCACCATGATGAAGTGTCGAGGTTTGTCGGTGCCATAACCGTGCTCCTGGGTGTCCCAAAAGTAGTAAATAAATAATGAATATGATAACAAAACAATACGATGACGTAACCACAAACAGTGAAATGCTTACCAAGAAACAAGACTTGACACAATAAGGACAAGACCTGTGACAGTAAAACAATAAGCTGATAAGACCCAAAACAGAAAGAAAACACGTAACAACAAAACCAGATAAACAACGATCAAATGACAACTTCACACCAAGCACTGAATCAATCAACTGACACATGGCCCCAAAGAGTGAATCAATCAACTGACAACATGGCCTCAAACGGTGAATCAATCAACTGACAACATGACCCGAAACGGTGAATCAATCAACTAACAACATAGCCCGAAGCAGTGAATCAGTCAACTGACAACATGGCCCCTAACAGTGAATCAATCAACTGACAAAATGATCCAAAACGGTGAATCAGTCAACTAACAACATGGCCCGAAACAGTGAATCAATCAACTGACAACATGACCCAAAACGGTGAATCAATCAACTAACAACATGGCCCGAAGCAGTAAATCAGTCAACTGACAACATGGCCCGAAAACGGTGAATCAATCAACTGACAACATGACCCGAAACTGTGAATCAATCAACTAACAACATGGGCCGAAACAGTGAATCAATCAACTGACAACATGACCCAAAACGGTGAATCAATCAACTAACGACATGGCCCCAAACAGTGAATCAATCAACTGACAACATGGCCTGAAACAGTGAATCAATCAACTGACAACATGACCCAAAACGGTGAATCAATCAACTAACGACATGGACCCAAACAGTGAATCAATCAACGGACAACATGACCCGAAATGGTGAATCAATCAACTGACAACATGACCCGAAACAGTGAATCAATCAACGGACAACATGGCCCCAAACAGTGAATTAATCGACAAGATGACCTGCAAAAGTAAACAATCATCTGACACAATGGCCTGAAACAGTAAATCAATCAACTGACAACATGACCCGAAACTGTAAATCAATCAACTGATAACATGGCCCAAGACAGTGAATCAATCAACTGACAACATTGCCCCAAACAGGGAATCAATCAACTGACAACATGGCCCCAAACAGGGAATCAATAAACAACATGACCTGAAACAGTGAATCAATCAACTGACACCATGACCTGCAACAGTAAATCAATCAACTGAAAACATGACTCGAAACGGTGAATCATTCAACTGACAACATTACCCCAAACAGTGAATCAATCAACTGACAACATTACCCCGAAGAGTGAATCAATCAACTGACAACATGGCCTATAACATTAAATCAATCAACTGACAACATGACCCAAAACAGTGAATCAATCAATTGACAACATTACCCCAAAACAGTGAATCAATCTACCGACAACATTACCCCAAACAGTGAATCAATCAACTGACAACATGACCCCAAACAGTGAATCGATCAACTGACAACATGGCCCCAAACAGTTAATCAGTCAACTGACAACATGGCCCCAAAGAGTGAATAAATCAACTGACAACATGGCCCCAAACAGTTAATCAGTCAACTGACAACATGGCCCCAAAACAGTGAATCAATCAACTGACAACATTACCCTAAACTGTGCATCAATAAACAACATGACCTGAAACAGTGAATCAATCAACTGACACCATGACCTGCAACAGTAAATCAATCCACTGATAACATGGCCCGAAGCTGTGAATCAGTCAACTGACAACATGACCTGCAACAGTAAATCAATCAACTGACAACATGACCTGCAACAGTAAATCAGTCAACTGACAACATGACCTGCAACAGTAAATCAATCACCTGACAACATGTCCCGAAACAGTGAATCAATCAACTGACAACATGACCCGAAACAGTGAATCGATCAACTGACAACATGACCCGAAACAGTGAATCGATCAACTGACAACAAGGCCCGAAACAGTGTATCAATCAACTAACAACATTGCCCAAAACAAATAATCAGTCAACTAACAACATGGCCCGAAACAGTGAATCAATCAACTGACAACATGGCCTGAAACAGGGAATCAGTCAACTAATAACATGGCCCCAAACAGTGAATCAATCGACAAGATGACCTGAAACAGTGAATCAATCAACTAACAACATGGCCCCAAACAGTAAATCAATCCACTGATAACATGACTCGAAACGGTGAATCAATCAACTGACAACATGACCTGCAACAGTAAATCAATCAACTGACACCATGACCTGCAACAGTAAATCAATCACCTGACAACATGGCCCGAAGCTGTGAATCAGTCAACTGACAACATGACCTGCAACAGTAAATCAATCAACTGACACCATGACCTGCAACAGTAAATCAGTCAACTGACAACATGACCTGCAACAGTAAATCAATCACCTGACAACATGGCCCGAAACAGTGAATCGATCAACTGACAACAAGGCCCGAAACAGTGTATCAATCAACTAACAATATTGCCCAAAACAAATAATCAGTCAACTAACAACATGGCCCGAAACAGTGAATCAATCAACTGACAACATGGCCTGAAACAGGGAATCAGTCAACTAATAACATGGCCCCAAACAGTGAATCAATCGACAAGATGACCTGAAACAGTGAATCAATCAACTAACAACATGGCCCCAAACAGGGAATCAATCAATTGACAAGATGACCCGAAGCAGTAAATCAATCAACTGATAACATGGCCCCAAACAGTGAATCAATCGACAAGATGACCTGAAACAGTGAATCAATCAACTGACAACATGGCCTGAAACAGGGAATCAGTCAACTAATAACATGGCCCCAAACAGTGAATCAATCGACAAGATGACCTGAAACAGTGAATCAATCAACTAACAACATGGCCCCAAACAGGGAATCAATCAATTGACAAGATGACCCGAAGCAGTAAATCAATCAACTGATAACATGGCCCAAAACAGTGAATCAATCGACAAGATGACCTGAAACAGTGAATCAATCAACTGACACCATGACCTGCAACAGTAAATCAATCAACTGAATAGATGACTCGAAACAGTGAATCAATCAACTGACAACATGGCCCCAAACAGTGAATCAATCAACTGACAACATGGCCCAAAACAGTGAACCAATCAACTAACAACATGACCTGAAACAGTGAATCAAGCAACTGATAACATGACTCGAAACGGTGAATCAATCAACTGACAACATGGCCTAAAACATTACATCAACCAACTGAGAACAAGACCTGCAACAGTAAATCAATCAACTGACTCCATGACCTGCAACAGTGAATCAATCACCTGACAACATGACCTGCAACAGTAAATCAATCAACTGACAACATGACCTGCAACAGTAAATCAATCAACTGACAACATGGCATGAAACAGTGAATCAATCAACTGACAACATGACCTGCAACAGTAAACCAATCACTTGACAACATGACCTGCAACAGTAAATCAATCAACTGACACCATGACCTGCAACAGTAAATCAATCAACTGACAACATGACATGCAACAGTAAATCAATCAACTGACAACATGACCTGCAACAGTAAATCAATCATCTGACAACATGGCCCGAAACAGTGAATCAATCAACTGACAACATGACCCGAAACAGTGAATCGATCAACTGACAACAAGGCCCAAAACAGTGTATCAATCAACTAACAACATTGCCCAAAACAAATAATCAGTCAACTAACAACATGGCCCGAAACAGTGAATCAATCAACTGACAACATGGCCTGAAACAGGGAATCAGTCAACTAATAACATGGCCCCAAACAGTGAATCAATCGACAAGATGACCTGAAACAGTGAATCAATCAACTAACAACATGGCCCCAAACAGGGAATCAATCAATTGACAAGATGACCCGAAGCAGTAAATCAATCAACTGATAACATGGCCCAAAACAGTGAATCAATCGACAAGATGACCTGAAACAGTGAATCAATCAACTGACACCATGACCTGCAACAGTAAATCAATCAACTGAATAGATGACTCGAAACAGTGAATCAATCAACTGACAACATGGCCCAAAACAGTGAATCAATCAACTAACAACATGACCTGAAACAGTGAATCAATCAACTGATAACATGACTCGAAACGGTGAATCAATCAACTGACAACATGGCCTAAAACATTACATCAACCAACTGAGAATAAGACCTGCAACAGTAAATCAATCAACTGACTCCATGACCTGCAACAGTGAATCAATCACCTGACAACATGACCTGCAACAGTAAATCAATCAACTGACAACATGACCTGCAACAGTAAATCAATCAACTGACAACATGGCATGAAACAGTGAATCAATCAACTGAAAACATGACCTGAAACAGTGAATCAATCACCTGACAACATGACCTGCAACAGTAAATCAATCAACTGACAACATAGCCTAAAAAATTACATCAACTAACTGAGAACAAGACATGCAACTGTAAATCAATCAACTGACACCATGACCTGCAACAGTAAATCAATCAACTGACAACATGACCTGCAACAGTAAACCAATCACTTGACAACACGACCTGCAACAGTAAATCAATCAACTGACACCATGACCTGCAACAGTAAATCAATCAACTGACAACATGACATGCAACAGTAAATCAATCAACTGACACCATGACCTGCAACAGTAAATCAATCAACTGACAACATGGCCTGCAACAGTAAACCAATCACTTGACAACATGACCTGTAACAGTAAATCAATCAACTGACACCATGACCTGCAACAGTAAATCAATCAACTGACACCATGACCTGCAACAGTAAATCAGTCAACTGACAACATGACCCGAAATTGTGAATCAATCAACTGACTACAGGGAAACAACACCAGGGACAAGATATACTTCAACTGTTTAAAGTTAAACAGCGACTAACTCCAGTCTAACCCACCAGGCCGAGGACACGTCAATTATCAGGTCATCTATTTATATTTCCAAGTCAGCCCAAATAAACATCCACACTTAATACAAATAGTATCATATCATTTTTAACGTATATGTTTCAGTTGAGGATCACGCATTCCGTTTGGGCTAATAGACAGCACTGCCGTGACATGTTGTGCTGTAGACGATGTCGACATGACAAGATCGAACACGCTCAGTTCCCATATTCCCACAATAACACAACGTATTCTGAGTGTCTAATGTATAACCTGGAGCTTTATTATGATTATGATTGTGTTATTATGAAAATCAGACTTACCTAGATATCACAAATGTGATACACACACACTCAATGAGACGGACTTCCTTATGAACACTACGATCGACTAAATCGAAAGTAGAAACACAAACTTGGCTTTATGCCAGCTGGAAAACTCAGCAACGGAAATAACTATAAATGCGAAACAGGCATATCTGTCACCGGAGAGGCCGTTTCAGCAGACAGCACATATTGATGGGTTTTAGATATCGTTACTGACGTCAGCACAGTCTAGTGGGTTTAAATGCCACCTCTGTGCGGCGGCTCAATGGGTTATAAATGTGACGGTTGCTCAAAAGGTGTAGCTATAAATGTGTCTCCTCGATTGCTTTGTAAATCTGAACAATGTTATCGCGTGATTGGACGAAAGGAGTCTGCATCGAATTAAATACGGAGGGAGTCTTGGGAGGATTTGAAATTCAGGTTCGGTTCCAGTTGGCGTCTATTTGAGGAGGGGCATCCTGGGCGGGAGGGGGATGAGGGGATCCGGGACGGGAGGTGGCGGTCTTTGGAGACCAACCTGTGATGTAGGTGCTAGTCAGTGTCGACCCGCATTGAAAGAAATAGAGTTGCTATAATATATAATTATCAACTTTAAAGTTCATTGCACTTATCTAGCAATTAACATGCATGCGCGTGCGCGTGTGTGTGTGGTTGCTTGAAATAATCCCAACTTATACCGCTTTATTTTTAGTGTTAGTCCACCGAGAAACTAAGCAACAGTTGTAAACACGCATATCCCACTCAGACACACACTAAACAATCCTTGTTGGTCCACCTTGATGCCGAGTGCCAGGCGCGGTAACAACAAATACCATCTTTTATCGTCTGTCGGTATGACGCGGCTAGGGGATTTAAAGGGCAAGTTCACACGGAAATTAACCTATTTTTCTTGTACTTTTTCCACATTAAAAGTGTTAACCTAGAAGTGTCATAGACAAAAATATAAAAATATCACAATTAATTAACATATTTTTCGCATTAAAACGATTTATATTTTTCACATTTACCAAGTGTTCTATTTCCACAACAAAAACACCATGGCTTATGCCCCTTGCAATATGACGTCATTGGTGCCAATTGATAAACATTATGACGTCATCATGCTTTGTTAGAGCCGCTTCACGTGGTGTAGGTCTAGATGTGTGATTCTAGCGTCTCAGATGCCAGCCAGCATAGTGTCATGCTGAGTCACCACTGCGACGGAGTGTGTCGTAGGCCATGTTGTTTTACCGCAAACTGGTACTTGATATCTTTTGCGTTGAGAATAGACAGGGACCCAGTTGAATTGGCACCAATTACGTCATAATCTAAGGGGGATAACTCAGGCCTGTTTAGCTCGAAAAACGAAGGCCTCATAACGGCATATCATTTTCACACTATTGTGAGCTTCCTACTTTCACTGTGAAAAAAATGAGTGTATATTTTCAAACACAGATACTAATTAATTCTAAAATTGCGTTTTGTTTAGAAAAGAAAGAAAGTGATTTTTGCGTGTACACTTCCCCTTTAACCACTGATCTTCCGCTCTCCTGACAGATACCCTATCCACTGGACCACGGAGGCGGTCGTGTTTATATGAAATAGTAAATAAGCTCGGATATGATTTTATACCTGTTTCTGACCTATCTGGTCGCTCATTGCAGATGAAAGCCTTGATTCCTAGATGTGGGCATGCTGATCTGGTATAGATCACAGAATACGAAGACCCGTGTTCCTGTTCGCAGTTGCGTCCCTTTGCTTCCAGAATCCCATGATTGTTGGTTCGAATCCCCGATACAGCCCGGTAATGACACCTGATTTGTCAGCACAATGCACTGTATGTTAGCCAGTTTCATCTTAAGTTTAACTGATTTAACTGATATACTGTAAAAAGAACCGTTAAATTCACTTACTCCATTGCATATTTCGTTAAAATGTGAACAGTTGATAAATACTTTCGAACCATTTATCTATTTATTTATTAATATATTTATTTCTTTCTTATTAATTGTATCTTCTTACAACTTATTTGTACCTTTATTACAATTATTACAATTTTTCTCGTCAATTATTTCAGTTGTCTTTCTTTATTCCTTTGGTCAAATTTGTCCTATTATCATCGTTACCATTATGTTAATCATCTAGATAAAAAACTTACGTTTTCTACCCAATAATAAATACAACATATGTTTGTTTCCACCATTTCAACAAAGCAGTCTCTGCAACAAATCACTAAAATACATCAACATGATTTATGTCCACAGAAATGAAAATATAAAGGATTAATAAACAAACAAACACATGATTTTTCTATATTTATTATAATGATTTCAAATTGACGTGTTAAAGTATATAACCATAATTATAGTATATGATTCGCAATGGTGTCAGGAGATTGCATATGTCTGCGACTTGTATGTACAACGAAAGAGAACAATTATGTGTATACAATCACTCACATGGAGACATCTAAACTACCACATCAAGCTTACAGAATGTTCAAATTTACCCAAGATGCTTGACAAAACTCGGCTGCAAAGATACAAAATATTTTGCTTAAACTGGATTTTGGAAAAGTATTGAAACATTTGGGAACACCGACTTCTTGTCAGAATTCAAACAAAGACTTGTAATCTTGTTCAGGACTGCCAATCATCACTTTATTCGAACCGAAAATGTTCATATACATGTACATATCATGCGCCAAATCACTTCTTGATGTCGAAATATATCTAACACTGGACTTACCGCTTCATATTTCGGACTTTATTAGCGAAATTCCGACGCAACAAGTTTAATCTGCTAATTGAAACTGGGGGTAACCTTTTTACACGACGAACATGATGCACTTTACACAATAATGCAAAACCCTGACCCAGGATTTACGCCCCTGTCGTCCATATCATTTCGTCCAACCTCGACACTGGTAAATACATACAAATAGTTATAACGAAAAGCAACATGCTGAAACAATGGACACTACACACCCTAGCGGTGTAATGCATTGATCCACTAGTCACACATACCTCTCCGCCCAACAGCCATATTGACATTACTAAAAACTTAAAGTATAAAAAGAATTATTTTTAATTCCCATGCGTATTGCAATCATAACTCATTAATTCCCTTTGTTTAATTGTGAAACCCATCTGGTTTTATGTCAACAAACATGTTTTGAAACTTTTAAAACAAAAAGATTTCTTTTGTGCAAGCAATTGCCATGTATTATTGATTATTAATCATATCAATTCATATATAAGAATATAGTTGTGCTTACTGTGTCATTTTGCAATAATTATATTGTTATGATGTAATATTTTACTATTGTTAACAATCTTTAGAACTTTAGTTTATTTCAATCAAGTCAAGTGGTGTGATCATTTTGATATTTTTTTATAATTCAATCAAAACGAGAAAATTAAAAAAATATAAATACATAGAAGAAATTTGTTTTCCTTGTCAAATAACGATGATAGCATGAATTTATCTCATGCTCCTTGTATGCATGCTCCTTGTGAAAACTCATCCTTTTTCTTCTTCGAATGTACCTTATATGATGATTTTAGGGAGACATTACTGACAGCTATCGATAATCTTGGAGGACAAAAAACTCTACATAGTATTCTTTTTGGTGATCCAAACTTAGATGTTTCCTGAATACAAAAATATTCTTGTCTGTACACAAATTTATAGAAACGACTAACAGATTTAGTAGCTAGCATATTATTGTTTCCAAACTGTTATTCATTAATATTGTTAAATCTATATTCAACACTAAAATGTATAATATTAGGATATGTATGAGATGCACACTGTCTTCACTTTCCAGCACATTGTACATATCCTTCATATGAGCACTGTATATATATTGCGCACTATGTTTCCACAATGGGAAGCTTCAACTGTAAATTGTTCATTTTCATTATGCAATATTATGTATAACTGTATATAGGGAGAAGGCGGTAATAAGTGCTGCCCTTTGTCTTTTTGGACAATAAAATATGTTTAATAATATTTCATCTTTATGATCTGACAAAGTTTATATTTTCAAGTCAAGATATCAACTTTAGTAAACCACATGAAGGGATAAACACTGCATTTGACAAAATAAATTCAAGTCTTATATTTTCTTTGTGATCTTCATGACCTTACTCATAAAACCATAGTGTCAATGAGGCAGACTGACTGTCGGTGTGACAAAACGTGATATTTCACCTGATTTTCACTCCAGCGAAAGTATGTTTTCAACATGGTTAGACTAAACAAAGTATTTCATAATTAAATACATACCAGTAATGCAAATATCAAAACGTGTTTAATTAAAACAAGAGTGAATTTCTGTGTGACATTAATATAAAGAGCTTTAGTACACTGTCATTAAATTGATGCATCTGTTGAGTTTACTATTTACAAAGAATATACTGTTTGAGTTTTCGACATATCAGATGAATTGATGCCTTCAAGAATGTTCTTAAGTAGCATGTAAAGTTACACACTGTGATTAAATTTCCTTAAACTTCTCTATTTCAGAAGAATGTTGTTTTCTAAATAAGCAATATTTTGAGAGAAGGTGAATATGCATTGTTTATAAAAAATGTTATTGAAGTAGGAATATTATAACAATATTATTGAATTATTCATTTCAGGCCAGGGAGTCAACACAATGAAGTACTAGTATCCGGTGACGGATGTCTGGAGGAGCTTTCTGCTGACAGTAACACAATGGTTACAATGTGCGTCCTGTCAAAGGACGAGGAAGTGAAAAGCCATAATCATTTAATCAACAAATGTGCTTCCTGTCATATTTCACTTAAATAGGACGAGGAAGTGAAAAGCCTTATTCACTCACAAATCAACATGGCCAATATTTATCGGACACTGAAAAAGCACATTGTACCATTTGTTTACAAGCAAGAAAATTATTTTCTCCTGGAATTTAATAGGTGCTTTTGACTGACAAAGACAACCAGTCCATGTTAAGTTTTGAAAACTTATATTGTGAGAAATAAAGATATGAAAATTTTGGTTTGTTTTTCTTTGTTAAATATGAGAAATCCAGATTGTTCCATCAACATAATTTGTACCGATACATATATTTTATCTTGGCTTGATTACCGATTGAAGTTGATTCCTTTATATCTTTTGTTATTTTATCTGTACTCATATCTATTCAGGATAAATGTATTAGTAGCTTCCTTTTGATATACAATTACCTATCATCATACAGGATTAGGTGAGGGTTTTCAAGAAGTTGGTAGTTGTATCAATTCTTATATTTCTTAATTTCATACATTATTTATATTTATCAATTTTTAGTTTCCCTTTAACTTATTTTAAACAGTTTACACATTATTACTTTTGTCGTGCACGGTGCAATCTCAATCGCCAATAATCAGTTAAGTAAGTGATATTTGAAAGTATCATCTGTCATTGTACACACTGAATAGAGTTATCGCCCCTTCTGAATATTTATTTTGACACACGAGTTATTTTCATAGTTAACATTGTAATATGTTAAAATGAAAATCTTAGCAGAAAAAGTGTCTTTTGTCAACTGGACTCATGGCAAAACGATAGTGCGTTGTGCAGCAAACACCACTATGAAACGCGAAATAAACATGATCTCAATCTTGATCTAGAGTTCGCCAAGCCACGCATTGACTGAGCAATTTTGCAAAAGGAAACTGACGTGTTTCATGTTATGCGGTTTATTTACGATACAAAACTTCTGTCATTGAATGTACTGTCACATTGTATCTATATGCCGACGAGGTTATGTTAAAACAATCTATTTCTAAAATACGTATCTCGAAATGCACCTTTCGATTCACTTCCGGGATCCTGACAGCAAAATGCTAATTCCAGTGTATTACAGACATATTTTAGTTGGACCTCATGATTTAATGTGAAATATCTTCTGTATTAGATACAGAGGATACCATTTTTTGTTTGTTTAAAATGTCCATCAGTTAAATGCACAACATGCTGTCTGTTCCCTATGAGCTGATACGACTCTCACTGCATGGAGTTATGCTCTCCAAGCCTCGTTTTCGATCCAAGATGGCGAAAGTGTGAAAAAGGTCAATAGACAGCACCAACAACCAGATGATCCACATTTAGGCTACTTCAGTCAGTGCTAATTAGGCCTTTTCGGAAACAACAAATATGTTTCTGTCTCTTCCCGAAAATACAATTTTTCATAACATCATTGAGCGCTTTAGACTAGGGCTATACATTGTAACTAGCAGCCTACAGAGAGTCGATCTGAAAATACTTCCATTGTTTTGATTCCCTCTCTTCGCTGTATAATAGAAGTCTAATCAACCTTTCCCATGGCCTGAATGAGCCACATTGTTTCACAAAAATCAAAGTCAGAAGATTTGTACATTTTAACTTTAAAAAAGAAATGATTTCAGAAATAACAAGGAAGAAATGGCGATAACTGCCAGTGGTCAGTAGGCGATGCATAAGTTAGGCCTATTTACAGACCTATACGCTTACGATCAAAACCCGAACAAATATGACGGCCACAAAATGCCGCCAGACTGAAATCTGGTCAAACATATACTGCTTGCCCTTGGTAATTACCCTTGGTATCCATAAAATAATAATAAGGAAAAAAGTCTTTGGCCTTCTTCATATCTATATACATCATGTTCTGTGGATCAAATATTAATATCAACACTGACGCTCAGTGGAAGTGACCGGCAAACTGCATTCAAAACCCCGCCACTTCTAATAATACGATACATTTAAATCATTTGACTATCTGCATGTACAGAAACACATCAACAAGCGGAGACTGCTTTTGAAAAATTAACTTACCTCATCCGAATTCACAGATCATCTGTCCAGTTCCAAATTCTGCACAATCACTTGGTTGTAATATGTCCAGAGTGAACTTAGATGGCTGGTGACAACACATCTTCCGCGACAATGTGACGTCATTCTGACGTCACTTCACGAGGCAACAGTTAAACCTTTCAGCAGTCGCTCTCACGTCTCAAAAAATGCGCGCCAATTGTTTTTAACTGTTATATTGCTTGTGACAACATTTAGTAGAGATGGTAGATCTACAAGTGGTTTCCTAAACATCATTTACAAAAAGTGTTGTAATGTCCAAAGCACAACGTTATCACAACTTTAATTTGCAACGTTGTTGTAACGTTGTGGAATAACGTTACAATGTAACGTAATACTAACGTTGTCATGGAGATACGCAATTACGTTCTGGAAATTTTAGTATTAAGAGATGAAAATTCAAATGCCGAATATAAAGAAAGGTAATGCATTACTACCTTGGTATTCTGACAAGTTCAGGTTGATTTTGATAAAGCAGTTCTATTCCTTTAAGGGAGGCGGTCGGGTAGCCTAGTGGTTAAAGCGTTCGCTTGTCACGCCGAAGACCCAGGTTCGATTCCTGACATGGGTACAATGTGTGAAGCCCATTTCTGGTGTCCCCCGCCGTGATATTGCTGGAATATTGCTAAAAGCGGCGTAAAACCAAACTCACTCCCTCACTCACTCTATTCCTTTATGACTATCGAGAAGCAAACTCTATAACGTTTCACCGACGTTTCAGAAACGTAGTTACAAAACGTTGTGTGATGACCGATGCACAACGTTTTCACAACGTGAATATATCACGACGTTACCAATCCACAACCTTTCCACAACGTTGTGACAACGTCGTGTGTTAGCTGGGTTGTTACAGAGTAAATGTGCCTAAAAATCTTCAAAATACAGATGTTTTCTGTCAAAGTGTTTCGTAGACATTTGAAATTTGGTTAAATCTGGGACAGATTGTACTACACCTTTCTTGACTCGTATGAGTTACATTTGATTACTTTGATCTCGGTCAGTTGTCATGTAAGTAAATGAATTTCTTTCTCTAAGATCCGGGGGCATGGGTGGCCCAGTCGTCTAAGGCGCCGCGATAAGCTGTGCAGAGTTGAGTCCCTTGGGCACGCCAGAAACTTGTGATTGTGGGTTCGAATCCCCGTTCGCCCCAATTATGTTTCTAGGTTTGTCAGCACCATACCCGTGCTCGTGGGTTTCACCGAAGTGGTAAACGTCTGGGACCTGCATCACTTCGGGCTTTCCTCCAACATTAAGCTGACACGCCGTGATATAACTGGAATACTGTTAAAAGCGGCGTTAAACCCAACTCACTCACTCTCTAAGATCCCTTCAGTTAAATAGAAGTGACAAAGCCCTTTCCATATCCATAAAATATCTGCTTAAAGCTCAGTCGGTTGTACGATTAAGACTATGTCATCAGCATTTGTTTATGAATCACTATCAAATAAGTAAACATAATAGTAATAGCAATGCACTTATCTAAAGCCAATACAAACACAGGGCGGACATAATGACAATCAGTAATATTCAATCAGATACTCTGGGTATATTTGACCTTCGCTGAAAATCACGTAGATCACGCTTGTTTCGCTATCACATGCTGAGTCAGCGAGTTTAGTTTTGTTGCTGGAATCCAACACAGGCGGACGTTTCAACTCTCGGTTTCCTTGCTTCGACTTCCCAACGAGAACTTTAGCCAAGAACATGAACCTGTGACGCCTTGCATCTTCTTTAGCGTAGCCATCAGAATACTTGGCGTCCACAGCAAAGTACGCCCCTTGGCCATAGAGGGCGCCCACTCTACTTCCGGCTAACCGGAAGTCGATGTTTTGGTGCGGGATGAGATCGGCTGAGTCTGGTGTGGTTCCGTGAAAGAGTTGCTTTTCATTGGCAAGACCACGGCCGTACTCACGTTCCATGTTGCCCTTGGCCCTGGAAGTAACAGAAATATGTTTGAGGCTACACGGACAATTGCAAGACGCAGAAGAGAATAGTTTTTTAAGCGAGTGGCACTGTGTTTTGAGAAAGCACCATAAGGTGAGGTGATGAGGTCGCGTCCAAAATTATTGCACTTATAAAGCGATGTGCATTCAAGTCTGATGCCGATTTATAGTGCTAGCTCACTGAGATACCATGCCGCAGTTAAACATGAATACCCCACTCAGACACAGTATACTGACTCCGAGCCGACCAGTCCTTGTTTTAGCCCCTTAATGCCGAGCGCCAGACAGGGTAACAACAAGTACCATCTTTAAACGTCTTTTGGTATGACGCTATCGGGGATCGAACACCGGACCTTTCGCTCTGCGGACGCTCTACCAGGCGGTCAGAAAGCACTATAACATGTACATATACGTGTATATAACAACCGCAAGACATAAGTAATAAGTCCAGCAATGTGCTGTTGTTGGTGAACTGTTTGTTGTTGTGATTTTGTGATCTGTTGTTGTTGTGCTCTTTTCAGGTGAACAATTGACTTGCCTTTGTGTTTGGATGTGTTTGTGACAGGTGCCAGCGTAGGGGCAGGATACGCTCACCTTTTCGCGAACACCTGGTATCATCCCTATTTGATCGTGATTCATACTCATGATATGGTCGGAATCGAACAATCGAGAGATTTCTTATGAATACCACAAGGTTTTTGTCGTTTTTATTGTATGCTTAACAAATTATAAGAAAGTATTAGTTCCCTGGTTGAAGCCTACAATAGTAATAGAACTCTGTCGTCATATGAGTGACAGCCGTCCTATTGTATTTAACTGAGCAGGTGTACATATTTCAGTTATCTGGATTTATCATCTTTTAGGGACTTAAATATCATATTTGTATTTTAAATATTAAATCGTCATTTCAATCCGAAGTAAGATCAATGACAAACGCATGATTTTGAAAGAAATATAAGAAATAAATAGTTGTCTGGTGTCATAACTGATTTTAAGTGATCCATATTTTCACCGCTATTTTCCTTTTACACCCAATGAAATTTGTTTCGTCGGATAATCGAGACTGGTTATTCTCTGGCGTTGAAGTTTTATATTTTCTTGTCCAATAACATGTTTTTACTTGAAAACGTTACCAAATTCTCTCCAATGAACATATCAAACTTTTTCAGGGCACAGGATGAGATACAAATGGTACATGACATGAGAAGCCAAATATCATCCCGGTATTTATATAAATGGCCCTAATGTGTTTGTAAAAGTATTGACTAAAAATGATTGTAAACTGTCGACTAACGGGATCGGATGGTGAGGTTCGCTGACTTGGTTCATGCAGGTCATCGTATCCCAATTGCGTGGATTGATGCTCATGATGTAAATCACTGGATTGTCTGGTCCAGACTCGATTATTTACAGACCGCCGTCATATAGCTGGCATATTGCTGAGTGCGGCATTAAACAACCAACAACAAATAAACAAACAAATATAATGTCATCAGATGGGGCAGTGGGGCAGTATTAGGGTTAAAGAGAAGGCTGGTCCCAAGAAGACCCGGCTTCGATAACAATGTCATATGATTGGAATGTTGCTAAAAGCGGGGCAAATCATTCTCAGTAAATCATATTAACGGGAGGCAGAAAGTGAAGCAAGTTGCCTCCCCTAGTAGTACCAGGAACAGCTGATCTTTGGTTCAAATCCCAGAATCACCCTGGTTATTGTTTCACCCTGATCCGCACTCGGCCTGCATCTCACACTGCAAACACGAAAACGTCGTTTTCTTCCGTATATGGTCATTGGACGGAAAAACGACGTTATTTGGACGCTTTCAAACCATCGTTTTTCCGTCCAAATAACGTCGTTATTTGACATCGGAATTTACTGGGAGAGAACGATATCATCAAGCTCCTCCCTTTCTTGATTGGCATTGTCAATCAAGCAACAGCGTCTACCGGTATTCCTACTTCTCAGATTTCATTGGTCAGTTCTCGCGTGTTAGATAAGAGGCCCGAGTTTGACGCTGTACTCGAAAATGCGCTTAGAGGAAGTACTGAAATCAATCGTTCTACGCATGCGGATTGCTTAATGCCTTGTCCAAATTTTCCGTTCTGTGCATGCGCGATTTCGCGTATTTTTTCCACTATATGTCACCACTATTTGACAGTGATTCATAAACACGGTCTCGTGCTGAATTCGGAATCGTACAATGTCGCTTTAATTTATGGCACGTACTTGATCAGCAAGTATTTCCCATTAACAAATACAAGGATAACGGTAATAATTTTAGTCAAAATAATTAGGAAAGCGTAAGGCTCAGGAACGACTGAGTATAGGAAAAGGATTTATACTTTCGAAAGTTATATAATCGTCAAATACGCAAAAGAATATCAACCGGCTTTTAAAACTTATTTTTGTAGAAGGTGATCTTGGTGTTTATTGCCAGATAGTATATGCATATACATTTTCCCGATATTGCTTATTTTAATGTTTATTAACAGTTTTAAGGTTCGTCCGCCTAATTGACGGGATTCCACTTTCTCATTTGTACATGGCACTTAAACAGTGTTCTGTTACTGTAAACAAATTAGTTTCAAATTCCAAACTGGTGATATCTATTCAGACTAATGCTTAGTCTCTAAAACTGTATAGTTTTGAAAGAAACAAGTAACTCCATTTAAATTGAAGAGGAGCCCCAGTAATATGGGAGATTCCGAGATGAACCTACTCTATGGATATCTACGCTGCCACCCAAACCGACCCAAACGGGACCCGATAGCTTATTGTATGCTATATAGTCACATGGAAGTGCACTAGAATCATACATTGTATTCCGGACGATTGTGTTCTTTCATCTACTTTTAAATGTTGCCTTTTCACTAATCTGGACGAACTACTCATTGTTCTATTTATGTCATCCTGTTATATATATATATATATATATATATATATATTTATATCAGATATACATTAACGCATGTTACCATTCTAAAGTCATACTCTCATATAACCTTATATTGTTCATAGTATCAAAGTTTATTCAACAACATCAAGATCAGCAATTTAAACTACTGAACACCCAAACACAAGGCTGTTATCAAGCGCTGGTGCAGACGTGATGCATCGTAAAAAACTGTATCGTGATGTCTTCAGAAATACAATTTCCTGCAACATTTATACTACGAGATAGTAAGCCTAACGCTTACTCACCGGCGGAACGTAGACAATATCGCTAATATAGATATCGCGTATTTGAATGTTAATCCTAAAGACAACACTCATTATTTTTGCAGTGACGATGTAACACTTATAAACGTTTATTGGTGACTTTCATCAGTTTTGCTATTAATTTTAATAACTTTGTTTTCACATATACAAGTAGCAATACCCGACTAGCCTGTCATACATACTTATGTGGCAGTTTTCAATCTTGTACTGACTTACTCTGGTGTTCCTGCGGGGAGGTTATTGGCTTGGGTGTTATACCCCGTTTTTCTGGTAATCCTATTATTACTTCATTTTTATCTAATGACACCCTGTTCTCTGGATCACGGTTCCGTGACTATCCATAACAATTAAGATGAACATTCAGATCAAGTACATGAATGAGTTTGTTTTGACGCCACAGTCAATCAAAGACCAATGCTGTGCGGTTTGATTACACACTTCTACCAGGTCGAACATCGTGGATCTTTTTCTACCTAAAGAGAATCATAGTTCATAATGCTAATCCATCTATTGCCTACGAAAACCGTCCCGCTCAAGATGACCTTACTTGTTGTTAAATCCATCATTCTATCCCCCCGTTCTCAGCCCCCCCCCCCCCCCCCCCTCCCCGACACACACGCGCACGCACGCACGCACGCACGCCCGAACACACACACACACACACACACACACACACACACACACACACACACACACACACACGAGGACCTAAATAACCTGGACAGGAAATACTGCTGATAGCCTCTGGTCAACACCGCCGCGAGCGCTACCACAGAATGTTCGTCCAACTCTGCAGGGGGCATTCTCAGTAGCTTCAAATGCGCTGAAATGTGCGTGTCAAGGACAGCTGTTGTCCGATGCTGAAGAACCGTGTTCACAACTGACCGAATTGGTATTTTTTTTGCACTGACGGAAACTGGATATACTGACACACAGCTGTTATAGATATTTAAATAACCCCTGATCAAATAGATGCCCTTCGTTAATCTCTGTGTGGAGTACCGTATATACGAGATGCAATGGGTTATTCATGGCATAGACTAACATTTAGTCTCTGAAATCTTATTTTACTCAATATCCTTCTTGACTAAAAATAAAAACAATTCCCTATGCTGATTTCAGAGCTAGCTTGAGCTGGCTAGACTTGCTTTTGTATGCATTTCTAGATTATTATTTTTTCATAAAATAAATATATTCCACGGTCATGGTGCAGGACTATTCATGGCATATCACAGGCTTTTACGGATTGTGAACCGGCCTCGCGATATCTAATCCGCTGTCCTCGCATAGATATTAACATATCTTCGAGATCTGTCTGAATGAATGGCGTGACAACATTCAAGAAATACGTTAACGGTTATGTGAAATATTAGAATGATTCCACCACAGAAGCCAAATCTTAAAGTTGTTTGATTCTTCGGTAGCATTTTCACTAAATGTTGTTCACGAAAGGTTCCTGAATACAATAATCGAGATTACGCTATCCGCATGGATGACCTATTTCTGCATAGATATATCTAGATCGGTGACGCTAAGCCGGGGACCCGTACCCAGATCCGGACATACCAGTGGAACACTCACTCACTCACTCACTCACTCACTCACAATCTATCAATCTATCAATCGAACAATCAATCAAAATGGAAATCGAGTGACGGATGCTTGACTCATTGTAAGTCTTTGTACGCCATTGTATCGTTGCTAGTGGTACCAGTTACCAGTTTGGGCAAGACGAAGCATTGACGAAGCAAAGAGT